AGGTAACAACTTCATGAAAGGATGAAAACCTCACATATCACTATTAACCTAGAATATAAATGGTCTAAATGCCTTACTCAAAAGGCATAGAGTGGCAAGTTTGATTTTAAAAAGAAAGACTCATTTGTCTGCTGTCATCAAGAGATCCATCTCACATGTAACAACACCCATAGGCTCAAAGTAAAAGTCTGGAAAAAATCTATCATGCAAATAGAAAACAAAAAAGAGCAGAGGTAGATATTCTTAGATCAGATAAAACAGACTTTAAACCAACAAAAGTAAAAAGTACAAAGAAAAGCATTTCATAATGATAAAGGCCTCAATTTAATAAGAAGACTTAACTATCTAAACACATATGTACCCCACATTGGAGCACCCAGCTTCATGAAGCTATAGTTCTAGACCTATGAAAAGACTCATCCACACAATAATAGTAGGGGACTTCAACACCCCACTGACAGCATTAGACAGATCATCAGAGCAGAAAACTAACAAAGAAACCTGGACTTAAATTTGACATTTAACCAATTGGCCCTAATAGACATTTACAGAATACGGAAGCCATAACTACAGAATACAAATTCTTCTCATCTGCACATGGAACATACCCCAAGGTGGACAACATGCTCAGCCTAAAGCAAGTTTCAATCAATTTAAAAACAAAAACAACAACAACAAAAAAAAAAACAGAAATCATGCCAGCCATACTCTTGGACCACAGTGTAATAAAAATAGAAATCAATACCAAGAAGATCTCTCAAAACCACATAATAACATGGAAATTAAATAACTTGTTCCTGAATGACTTTTAGGTAAACAATGAAATTAAGGCAGAAATAAAAAAAATTATTTGAAATACTAGGCTGGGCGCTTTGGCTCATTCCTATAATCTCAGGACTTTAGGAGGCCGAGGCAGGTGGACGACCTGAGGTCAGGAGTTCAAGACCAGCCTGGCCAACTGGTGAAACCCTGTCTCTACCAAAATGGAAAAATTAGCCGGGCATGTTGGTGGGTGCCTGTAATCCCAGCTACTCAGGAGGCTGAGGTGGGAGAATTGCTTGAACCCAGGAGGCGGAGGTTGCAGTGAGCCAAGATCGCACCACTACCCTCCAGCCTGGGTAACAGAGTAAGACTCTGTCGCCAAAAAAAAAAAAAAAAAAAAAAAAAAATCAATTCCATTTATAATAGTTGAAAGAAAAAACAAAAAGCATTTTATGCTCATGAATTCTAAGAATCAATATTGTTAAAATGGCCATACTGCTCAAAGCAATCTACATATTCACCGCCAATCCTATCAAGCTGCTAACATCTTTTTTTCACAGAACTAGAAAAAAACTACTCTCAACTTCATCTGAAATCAAAGAATAGCCTGAATTGTCAAAGCAATTCTAAACAACAACAACAAAAAGCTGGAGGCATCACATTACTTGACTTCAAACTGTACTACAACACTACAGTAAGCAAAACAGCATGATACTGGTACAAAAACAGACACATAGATCAATGGAACAAAAAACAGAACCCAGAATTAAGCCACACACATACAGCCATCTGACCTTAGACAAAGTCAACAACAAAAAACCAATGGTGAAGAACTCCCTATTCAATAAATGATGCTGAGATTGCTGGCTAGGTATATGCAGAAGAATGCAACTGGACCCCTACATTCATCATATACAAAAATTAACTCAAGATGGATTAAAGATTTAAATGTAAGACCTCAATCTATGAGACGCCTAGAAGAAAACCTAGGAAACACCATTCTGAACATTGGCTTTGGGAAAAAATTTATGACTAAGTTCTCAAAAGCAACTGCAACAAAAAAATGACTAATTGGATCTAATTAAACTAAAGAGCTTCTGCACAGCAAACGAAACTAGTAACAGAGTGACAGACAACCTATAGAATGGCAGAAAATATTCAAAAACTGCATCAGAAAAGGTCTAATATTTAGACTCAACATCAAAAGTAAACAACTAAACAAGTAAAAACAAAGTAACCCCCTTAAAAATAGGAAAAAGATGTAAACAGACACTTGTCAAAAGAAAGCAAGCAGCCAACAAACATGAATAAATGCTTAACTTTACTAGTGGTCAGAGAAATGAAAGTCAAAACCATGATAATGAGATAATGAGATACCATCTTACACCAGTCAAAATGACTATTATTAAAAAGTAAAAAAACAAAACAAACAAACAAAAAAAACAGATGCTGGCAAGGCTACCGAGAAAAGGGAATGCTTATACACTGTGGCAGGAATGTAAATTAGTTCAGCCACTATGAAAAGCAGTTTGGAAATTTTTTAAAGAACTTAAGACAGAACTATCCTTTGACCCAGAAATTCATTACTGGTTTTATATCCAAAAGAAAATAAATTTTTGTACCAAAAAGTCACATGCACCCATATGTTCATTGCAGCACTATTCACAAAGGTAAAGACATGAAATCAACATAGCTGCCCATTTTTGGTGGATTGGATAAAGAATCTTTTTTCTGTACTATAAAAGATTATACTATACATATTCATTTACATGTGAAATATATACACATATGGATACTTATGTAATACTACATATAACACACAACTATACATATGTAATGCATGAACTACAGTGCATACATATCACGTGTGTGTAAATATACATGTAAAAACAAAATAGATTACATATATTAGATGTGTAAAATATTGAATATGTACATAAATTTATGTATAGTATTGGTATAGAATACATAAGATACATTTATATCTAGATAATATGAGATATACATGCACTTATATTGTAAAATATGTATTTTGGGATGTAAAATTATATATATCATACATATAAGATATTTGCATATATTTAATGTCATTTAATATAATTCATGTATTTATATTCAATGTGTATGATTTGTATGGTATATGTAATTACTTAACATGTACATTATAAAACATATATGTAAACATAGTAAATGTATTATTAATAAATATATATATTTATAATTAAAATCACTGCAGTTGGCCAGGTGCTATGGCTCACACTTGTAATCCACCACTTTGGGAGGTGAGATGGGAGAATTGCTTGAGGCCAGGAGTTCGAGACCAGCCTGAGAAACACAGCAAGACCCCATCTCTATAAAAAATAAAAAACATAGCCAGGTGTGGTGGGAGGCACCTTTAGTCCTAGCTACTTGGGAGGCTGAGGCGGGAGTATTGCTTGAGCCCAGGAGTTTGAGGCTGGAGTGAGCCATGATCGTGTCACTGCACTCCAGCCTGGGTGACATCAGAGACCTAATGTACATATAGCATGATGAATGTAGTAAATCCTAATAGACACCTGAAATTAGACTCTAACAACAACAACAAAAAATCACTGTAGCCTTTCTACATTCATGTAAGTGTCACATGGCTATTTTGAGGTTAAGCATAACCTCAACTTGTGAAGGGCATTGCAGGTGGGTCAGCATATGGCATTGAGTGAACATTTGCTGCATGAGTGAAAGATGGGTACAGAGCAAAGTGTAAGGAGTGTCTTTCAGCTGCTATGTTCTGCTCAAGGCTGGTTTCTTTATGTGTTGAAGAGGAAGCCACAGGCATGAAGAAGACTTGGCATGACTGATTATGAGCAGCGGATCAATATGTTGCATATCAGGGCTCATGATGGAAATCAAAGCAGAGGAGACTCGAGATCTAGTGGGATTTGTATCATTACTGAAGTGGAGGGAGAGATGCAGCACATTTATGTGAGACCATGGGTGGGTGGGGGTGTCATTTGCAGTTACTCGCCCAGTACTGAAAGGCACCCAATAGCACACTATGGGAAGTGAAATAAGCCATACACAGAGAGCCACATACTGCATGATTCCCACTTATATGTGGAATATTAGAAAGGTCAAACTCAGAGAGTAGTAACAGAGAGTAGAATGGCAGTTACCAGGGGTGGAGGGTGGAGGGTGGGGGGACTGGGGAGATACTTGTCAAAGGGCAGAAACTTTCAGCTATAAGATGAAAAACTGTTAGAGACCTAATGTATAGCATGGTGAACATAGTGAATCCTAATATGTACTTGAAATTTTCCAAGAGTTATCTCAAATGTTCTCACCACACACACAAAGACACACACACACCCCCCCACACACACAATGGTAACTGTAAGATGTGTATATATTAATTATCTTGTTTTAGACATTTTACAATATATATATACATCAAGACATCATATTGTACACTCTAAATATATGTAATTTTTTTGTTAATCATAACTCAAAGCTGGAAAAAGGCACTCAATATATATTGTTTCCTTAATTCTTTAACGCCACACTCTAATCCTCTTAAAATATATCTTATCATAAAATCTAGGCCCTGAAATCCTGAAAACAGCAACAACAACAACAACAACAACAGATAACAACCAGTATACCTGCCTCACTAATCTAATGAATTCTCCTTCATTAACACCTGCAAACACTATTTTTTTTTAAAGTGTCTACTTCTGATGACAGAGTGACTGGTGGTAGACTGAACTTCCTGATACAGAAAACTACAAACCTGGATGCATTCTATCTGGCAAGTTTTCAGGCAGTGATAAGAGGTCATGCAAGAGTGAAATTCACACAAGAAGGGAACCTAGCAAGCCAAGCCCCATGACCTCCCTGTTCCCTTTCAGGGGATAATTCCTCTCCCAATAGATACAACTGGAACTGGACTCTGGGCCAAACACAGCAGTCATTGATATGGTTTGGCTGTGTCCCCACCCAAATCTCATCTTGAATTGAGCTCCTATAAAGCAGGACATTAGGAAGGAAGACAGCTTCTGGGGAGGGGCCCCGTTCTGTGTGGGAAACATGCTAGGGGAGAAGAAAAGACCCACACACAATACCTTTAACGGTAAACAACCTTTGTCCCATGTAAATGGCAATGCAGATAGAATAAGCAAATGATACAATAAGCAAATGGATATAATAAGCAAATTGCAATGGGGAGGGCAGAAGGGAAAAGATATACATCTATTTACACTCACCAGACTATGGAGGATTCACCACCACACCGGGAAGCAACAGCCTGGGCTCCAGAGTCGGCCACTCGTCCATGCACAGACCAGGAGAGGTCTCATGAAGCTTCAGCACAGTCTGGGACCCTGGCTCTTTTTGTAAGGAGTTGTTTGGCATGAGGCCCAGCCACGAGGGCCCTTCACGACTGGGTTCAAGGAACACAAAAGGTCAACTTGTTTTTGCGGTTGTCTGTTGTTTTTCAATAACTAACGAATAGGAATAGATTGAAATAGAGATTTCTCCAAAACAGCGCTGGATGAACGCCTCAAGGGGCTCACACAACCTGTTCCATGACTTGGTGACCATTGTTTGTGTCCATGTTCAATTGAGTTCAAATTTAATATTTAACTTTTCCTCCACAGGCCCTCAGAAATTTGTGTCAGTAAATGTGGGAGGGCAGATATCTTTTTGACATACTAGCTTCCTTTTTTTTTTTGAAAGTGCACAGCAGTGGGAATGCCAGTCACATGGGAATTCTATTTTTAGTTGTTTGATGAACTGCCACACTGTTTTCCATAGTGGCTGTACTAATATACTTTCCCACCAACACTGTACAAGGGTTCCCCTTACTCTGCATCCTCACCAGCATCCATTATTTTTCGGCTTTCTGATAAAAGCCATTTTAACTGGAGTGAGATAATTTCTCATTGTGGTTTTGGTTTGCATTTCCCTGATGTGGTGATGTTGAACAGTATTTCATGTACCTCTTGACCAACTGATGAACAAAATATGATACATATACACAATGGAGTATTATTCAGCCATAAAAAGAATAAAATTAAAACTATGTTATTTGCTGCAACATGGATGGAATTGGAGGACATTATGTTAAGTGAAATAAGCCAGGAACAGATGGACAAATATCACGTCTTCTCACTCATATGTGGGAGCTAAAAACATGGATCTCATGAAAGTAGAGAGTTGATTGGTGGTTACCGGAGGCTATGAATGGAGGGGGAAAGGAGAGAGGTTGTTTTGTGGGCACAAAAATGCAGTTGGATAGAATGAATAAGATCTAGTATTCAGAAGTACAGCAAGGCAACTACAGTTAACAATAATTTGTCATATGATTTAAAGTTGCTGGAGGGGAGTAATTGAAATGTTTCCAACATAAAAAAAGGGTGCAGGTTTGGGGAGATGGAGACCCAGTTGCCCTGGTTTATCATTAGACATTCTATGCATGCATCAAAATACCACATGACCCCACAATATATGTAACTATTATGTATCTACAAAAAAAGTTCTGCGTCCAGGCTCGGTGGCTCACGCCTGTAATCCCAGCACTTTGGGAGGCCGAGGTGGGTGGATCACCTCAGGTCAGGAGTTCGAGAACAGTCTAACCAACATGGGGAAACTCCATCTCTACTAAAAATACAAAATTAGCCAGGTGTGGTGGCACATGCCTGTAATCCCAGCTACTTGGGAGGCTGAGGTAGAAGAATCGCTTGAACCTGGGAGGTAGAGGTTGTGGTCAGCCGAGATATCGCACCATTGCACTCCAGACTGGGCAGTAAGAGTGAAACTCCATCTCAAAAAAAAAAAAAAAAATCTGCCTCAGGGTTCTGTATCCATAAATTCAACAAACCTGGGATCAAAAAAATTTTTTTTTTTTTGCCAGGCACAGTAGCTCACACCTGTAATCCCAGCACTTTGGCAGGCCAAGGAAGGAGGATCACTTGAATCCAGGAGTTTGAGATCAGCCTGGACAACATAGTGAGACCCTGTCTCTACAAAAAATAAACTATGCACCTAGTCCCAGCTACTCAGGAGGCTGAGGTGGGAGGATCACTTGAGCCTGGGAGGTGGAGGCTGCAGTGAGCTGTGATTGTGCCACTGTGCTCTGAGTGACAGAGCAAGAACCCTGTCTCCAAAAAATATTTGTATGAAACCAATAAAAATAATACTAATTTAAAAACCAAGATAGTCTAACAACTATTTACATAGCATTTACATTGTATTAGGTATTATATGTAATCTAGAGATGATTTAAAGTATTCAGGAGTAAGCACTAGGTTATATATAAATAGTACTTCATTTTATGCAGAGGACTTGAGCAGCCTGAGATTTTGGTGCCTGAGATGGTCCCAGAACTAATCCCTACAGACATACTGAGAGGCAACTGCATGTCTATATCTATAGATATCAAGGTCGCAAGAGACAGATTGGTGGGGGGACGCCTTTACATGAGTTAGAGACAGAGAAGAACAGAGAGATGAGATCCACAATTATTAAATATACTGTAGTGGAAGTTTTTCCAGGATATTTTGCCCCCAGTATTACTGAAAAAGCTGGTGAAGTGTGGAGCCAGGCGAGGGCTGTGGGCTCTCACAGCGGGGTCACAGGGTCGCCCACCTCCTGGACACATTTGTAGGCCAGGGAAGCCTGCCAGCCAGGAGGTGTGAAATAGGAAAAGCTAGACCTGGGGGCCAGCAAGGAGAAGTCCTCAAGCTGAGAAATGGCATTTCAAAAGGCAGTGAAAGCGACAATTCTTGTTGGAAGAAGTGCTCTTGCAACTGTTTAGGCCTTTCTCAGCTTGCTTATCACAGAAGGAAACAAATGAGCCTGGTCTATGTTGAAGCAGCAGACTGCATTTCAGAACCTGTTAACAGGGAGCCTCCTTCCAGAGATGCTCAGCTACTGACTTTGCAAAAATATATCTGAAGTTGATATCCTTGTTATGGAAGGAGAAGCAACAGGAAGTGGCTGTGTACTAGATGCCATCACCAGAGGATTAAAAACAGCCTTGTAGAAAGAGATGATTTCTCATCAGGGACCAGCAGCAGAAGCACTAAATTGATCCATGGTGGTGTGAGATATGTTCAGAAGGCCATGATGAAGTTGGATATTGAGCAGTATAGGATGGTAACAGAAGCCCTTGATGAGCGTGCCAACCTGCCAGAAATTGCTCCCCTTTTATCAGCTCCATTGTCTATCATGCTTCCAGTTTACAAGTGGTGGCAGTTACCTTACTACTGGGTAGGAATCAAGCTGTATGATTTTGTTGCAGGAAGTAATTGCCTGAAAAGCAGTATGTCCTCAGCAAATCAAGAGCCCTTGAATATTGCCCAATGCTCCAGAAGGACAAACTGGTAGGAGGAATTGTCTGCTATATGGGCGACATAATGATGCATGAATGAATCTTGCCATTGAGCTGACTGCTGACAGATATGGGGGTGCCACAGTCAATGACAGGGAGGTAGTGAGCTTGCTCAAGAAGACAGACACCAAGACAGGGAAACTGCATGTGAGTGGTGCATGGTGCAAGGATGTCCTCAAAGGGCAGGAATGTGACATGAGAGCCAAATGTGTTATCAATGCCATGGGACATTTCACAGACACTGTGTGCAAAATGGATGATAAGGACGCTGCAGCTATCTGCCAGCCAAGTGCTGGTGTCCATATTGTGATGCCTGGTTATTACAGCCCAGAGAGCATAGGACTTCTTGAACAGTGATGGATGAGTTATTTTCTTCTTACCCTGGCAAAAGATGATGACTGCTGGCACTACTGATACTCCAACTGGTATTACACACCATCCACTTCCTTCAGAAGATATTAACTTCATTTGAATGAAGCGCGTAATTACCTGAGCTGTGATGTTGAAGTGAGAAGAAGGGGGACATCCTGGCCGCATGGAGCGGTATCCGTCCCCTTGTTACAGATCCCAAATCTGCAGATACTCAGTCTATGTCCTGAAATCATGTTGTCGATGTCAGTGAGAGAGGCCTTATTACTACAGCAGGTGGAAAGGGGACAACTTACCGGTCTATGGCAGAAGATACCCTAAATGCTATCAAAACCCATAATTTGAAAGCAGGACCAAGTAGAACAGCTGGGCTTTTCCTTCAAGGGGGTAAAGACTGGAACCCCACACTCTACATGAGGCTCGTCCAGGATTATGGACTTGAAAGCGAGGGGGCACAGCATCTTGCCGCCCCCTATGGTGATAAGGCTTTTGAGGTGGCCACGATGGCAAGTGTGACTAGCAAAAGGTGGCCTATTGTTGGAGTACGTCTTGTGTTAGAATTTCCATATATTGAAGCAGAGGTGTACTATGGGATTAAGGAGGATTCCTGCACCACTGTGGATATGATTTCACATCGTACTTGCCTGGTTTTTTTTTTTTTTTTTGAGACAGAGTTTCACTCTTGTCACCCAGGCTGGAGTACAATGGCACGATCTCGGCTCACTGCAATCACTGCCTCCCAGGTTCAAGTTATTCTTCTGCCTCAGCCTCCTGAGTACCTGGAGTTACAGGTATGCGTCACCATGCCTGGCTAATTTTGTAGTTTTAGTAGAGATAGGGTTTCTCCATGTTGGTCAGGCTGGTCTCAAACTCCTGACCTCAGGTGATCCTCCTGCCTTGGCCTCGTCTGGCCTTTCTAAATGTCCGGGCAGCAGAGGAAGCCCTACCCAGGACTGTGGAACTGATGGGCAGAGAACAGAATTGAGATGATTATAAGAAACAGGAACAACGTGAAACAGCCAGGAAGTTTCTATATTATGAAACAGACTATAAATCTCGATCAGAACAGTTAACAGACGGCTCTGAAATTAGCCTACTGCCTTCAGACACTGACAGGTATATGAAGAGATTTTGTAAGTTTGATGCAGACCAGAAAGGCTTTATTACCATTGTTGATGTTCTGCATGTATTAGAGAGTATCAATGTTCAAATGAATGAAAATACACTCCATGAAATTCTAAATGAAGTCGATTTGAATAAAAATGACAGGTTGAACTCAATGAATTTTTGCAGCTGATGAGTGCTATTCAAAAAGGAAGGGTGTCTGGAAGCCAGCTTGCTATACTAATGAAAACTGCAGAAAAGAACCTCGACAGAAGAGTTCCAATTCCAGTGGATCATAGTTACAGGAGGGACCGGGCTTAGGACGTGACTGGCCCGGGCAGATCTGTGTTTGTTAAACAGGTCTTGTGTATATTTTGCTATGAATGAAGTTCCTTTAAAGATAAAGAAAAGCACACTTTTCTTCTTTTGAGCATATCTGCTTTTACTTAAAATCTGCTAAATGCTAAAACACACAGTCCTTCACCAATCCCAGAGACTCGTTTGGAACTGATTCCAAGCCATTACTATGAATAAAGCACCCCAGCATTTTGTGTAAGTTCTTTTTTTTTTTCGAGACGGAGCCTCAGTCTGTCGCCCAGGTTGGAATGCAGTAGTGCAATCTTGGCTCACTGCAACCTCCATCTCCCAGGTTCAAGCAATTCTCTTGCCTCAGCCTCCCGAGTAGTTAGGATTACAGGCGTCTGCCACCACATCCGGCTAATTTTTGTATTTTTAGTAGAGATGGGGGTTTCACCATGTTGGCCAGGCTGATCTCGAACTCCTGACCTCGTGATCCACCCACCTCGGCCTCCCAAAGTGCTGGGATTACAGTCGTGAGCCACCACACCCAGCCATAAATTCTGAATTAAACCTGTAAAGCTTCCTTATCTGATTTAAGAAAGGAAGACAAGAAATAGGGGGGAATGAACTTCTTCGAAATTCATTCCAAGCACAAAAGGAAAATTTTTCCCTTTGCATGTAAACTTGACCTTAGTTGATTCTGTTGGGGTTGGCATGGGTATGCAGGGATTGCCTTTGATTATCAAGTGATTTATTTCAAGCGACTTTAAGGGGTTTCAGGTGAAGGAACCCCCATCTGTGCTGGAGTTGGATACTCCTTTCAATAGCCACACCACAGTCATAACAATGATGATAATGCTGGATTATTTGTTAAGCCAGGGTTGTCTGCCTCATATCCATCATGCTGTTTGCAATATTCCTGCTTTCAATCAATGTATACCGAGTGTAACTTTAGGATTTCTGCTATTAAATATATGATCCCTCTTCTGCTTCAGTTTCTGGCTTTGCTTTGTCTGTTTCAAAATATGTAGCTTCGTCTTTGGTGCAACAACAAACTCATTTTCACTTTTCTTAAATATACTGTAAGTGTTATCATTGGCTTTCTCTTTCTTATGTATCTGTAAAGATTTTTGGCATATAAATGTAATATTAAAGTCAGTGATGGTATAACTTGCAATGTTTGCATCATGTCCATCTTTTTTAAGGAGTGAAAAAGTCCTACGATGTTTTTAAAGAATAGCAAGTGTAAGCTCAGTACTAGAGTGACTACACACAATGCATGTTTTCATATGTGGCACTTTTATGTAGTGTGTTGGGTTATTGTTCTAGATCGGACTGTAAAATACTATGTTCGAGGCTGGGTTGTCATTTTTGTAACTGTCTTGGTGTTTTATGGCCATTATTTATTACTTTTGATATAGAGAATGAGCTCCGTGCATTTATAAAGCAATAAGACGATGTATTTAATGTGCTTTGTTTTTAACTGAGTAAGAACTGGAAGCATGAATCAATAAAACTGATTAAAATGGTCAAAAAAAAAAAAAAAAGCTGGTGAAGTGTTTTTTTCTTTAAAACACATGCAGAACACACATTCGCGCCCTTGTGTGCACACACACACAACTCACACACACACACCAGCCAAACGATCTATCTAAATGGGGCTGTGGTGGTGAGAGCTCTGGGCAATGGCATCTTACCAAACGTGCAGTGCTCTGGAGACAGTGACACCCTTTTTGTTAATATTTCAGATATAAAACAATGCAGGCTCTGTCCTGAAGATCATCATCCAAACAAGAAAAGGGAACATGCATTCCAAAATAGGAGGCCTTCCTGGCCTATGATGAAACTTTGGGCCTGGCTCTGGGATGCACAGCCTTGTTCTACTCTGCCCTCTCTGTTCTGATCCTTGTGGAGCTTGTGTGGCACCGAAACACTCCCATGGTCAGGACCAGCAACCTGACTCTGAGCTACCCCCGCGTTGTCTCCCTCACGCTCTGCTTTCTCTCTTCCTTGCTCTTCATCAGCCGCCCCAGCCCTGCCACCTGCCTCCTCTGACGGACCACCTTTGCAGCTATGTTCACAGTGGCTGTGTCTTCTGCAGGGCCTTCCAGGCTACAAGGCCAGCAAGCAGGATCCAAAAGTGGATGGGTCCCCAAAAAACACATTCTGTTGTCTTCCTTTGCTCCTGTATCCAAGGGACCCTCTGTGGAATCTGGCTGGGGACAGAGCCTCCCTTCGTAGACAACGACCCTCAGTCCGTGCCTGGCTACATCATTATCCAGTGTAATGAGGGCTCTGTCACTGCCTTCCACTCTGTCTTGGGCTATCTGGGCTTCTTGGTTTTGGGGACCCTTGCTGTAGTCTTTCTGGGAAGGAACCTGCCTGATGCCTTCAACGAAGCCAAGCTCCTCACCTTCAGCATGCTGGTGTCCTGCGGTGTCTGGGTGGCCTTCCTCCCAAGTTACTACAGCACCCAGGGCAAGGCCAGAGTGGCCGTGAGATCTTCTCCATCGTGGGCTCCAGCGCTAGGTTACTTGGCTGCATCTTTGCTCCCAAGTGCTATGTGATCCTCCTTCATCTAGAAAGGAACATTCTTCAATGTTTAAAGAAGAAGCCTAGTCCAGGCATGGTGGCTTACGCCTGTGATCCCACACTTTGAAGGCCAAGGCAGCTGGATCGCTTGAGCTCAGGAGTTTGAGACCAGCCTGGGCAATGTGGTGAAACCCTATCTCTACAAAATATACAGAAACTAGCTGTGGGTGGTAGTATGCATCTGTAGTCCCAGCTACTCAGTAGACCGGAGGTGGTAGGATTGCTTAAGCCTCAGAGGTCAAGGCTACAGTGAGCTAAGATCACACCACTGCACTCTAGCCTGGGAAACAGAGCATGACTCTGTCTAAATAAATAAACAAAAAGCCTGAGAAACCATAAACAGACGAAACAATAAACAGGCCGAGAAAAGGAACTGTAATGATCATTAGTGGCAGAGAATTTGTAACCTAATTGTGGAAAGCACACCTGAAAATTAACAAAGATTGAATGAACTATTTGAAAAAAATAGCAATGAAAGATAGGAAATTTACAGAGGCAAAATCTGAATATCCAGTGAATAATAAAAAGATTCTGGCTGGCTAAAAGGTAGTGACTTCTACCAGTTTATTGTCCACAGTCATTACAGACCAAATTCCTTGTTCTACTCTTTCCCCCCTCCTAATGCACTTGACTAGTCTTTAACGAAGAAAAAAAAAAAAGATGCTAAGCCTGATAGTCAAAAATTCAAATTTAAAAAAACATAAAATAGTTAATTACTTCTCAGCACAATGGCAAAAATTACAAATCTGGAATCACTAAGTGTTGATTGGGATATGGAGCACAAAGTGAGGGCATTGGGAAGGGTGAGGTCTGTGAAGACGCTAGAACTACTGAGTGGGATTTTAGCACCGAAATCAACCTCAAAGTTCAATTGCTCACCCTTTGGTTATGTTACAGATGGTGCAATGCTGGGTCACAGAGCTTACCCCAGGTCCCCAAGCGAAGTCAGTGGCAGTGCCTGGACGGGAAGTTCATCCCCATCCATTTTCACTTGCGGAATCTCAGGGCTCGGTAAAGAACCACGATTGACGGAGGTCACACAGCAACTGGTATGACAGGGACGGGTTTCCGGAATTCCAGTGTCTTAACACCAAGCCCTGTAGTACTTCTCAGAGATCAAAACCACTGCTCTTGTGTGCTCAGAAGACAGTTTAGTGGTCATAAAATCCAATACATCCAACTTGCAGATCAACACACAAAGACCCTGGAGGAAGGTGGGGCGGTAATTTCTCCCGGTCTCCAAAGAAAAGGCAAGAATGGTGATCATCAAAGCCGCTGGCACTTGAAGGGTCATTGTGTGCCGGCCATCGCTCTGAGGTTCCCTTAATTCTCACAACTCCCTACATTTTAACATCAAATTCTAACATCATCCTCACTTCACCTATGGGGAAACTGAGACACAGGGCATCATCCTCACTTCACCTATGGAAAAACTGAGACAGAGGGCACCATCCTCACTTCACCTACGGGGAAACTGAGACACAGAGGGTGTCTCTTGCCTGAGGCCCTGAAATAGTAAGAGAGCACAGCAGGGGCACCAGACATTATTTCACAAAAAGGGAAACCGAGGCCCAGAGAGGGTGAAAGGTCACCGGCTCACCCTCTCAAGGACGAGTGGTATAGGGTAGGTGGCCTCAAAGACAGAGAGGTTGCCTCAGAACCCACGGCCCCTTCAAATCAGCTTTCTCCCCTCCCGTGGGCAGCTATGAAGTCACAGGGGAACTGGGAGGGGCCGTTACCATGGAGACTGGAAGCCCATTCAGAAACATGGTGGAAACTGGGAGTCGCCCTCATCTCCCAGGGCACCACTTTGGAGCCAGCATTTTCGGCCTCGGAAGTGAGGCCCAGAGCGCCTCGCGCGAGCAGCCCCAACCTCCCCGCAGGCGACATGCGACACCGACCGGGTGACCGAGGCTCGGGAATCCCCACACTTCACGCACGCAGAACGAGGACAGAGATGCCTCAATGCGCGTGCGCAACTCTACCCCGTCCTTTAAAGAAGGCCGTGTGGCCTCTCCACCAATCGGAATCCTGCTTTTTCCCTGGTCCCGCCTTATTCCCAGACTTCCGGCGTCTCGCCGGCTGCAAAACAACCCTAAACTAGAGGGCTCGGCAACTCCTAGAGACTTCTGGGTATTGTAGTCCCAAAGATGCAGAGGGACAGGAGGAGCACGTTTTAGTAAAAAGCAGCTTAGAATAAAAATGTCTATACCAGTGATGATTCGGCGGGTTGGAAACGCTTTTTAGATGATTTCACCCACTGTTATTTGTGGGGGAAGCAGGAGGTAAGGAGAAGGAAGGCGGCCGCAGAGGCTTCTGGGAATTCTAGTTCAGCGCACTGAGCAAGGGCTGGGAGCTGCGACCTTCGCCCCGGATCCGGAAGTGGTCGCCGAGGCCTCCTAGCAGCCAATGTGAATGCGACAAGTCCCCGGTCCAGGCGCCCCGCTCTCCCCGGCCCAGCTCGCCAGGTCCTACCACGATGCCTGACTCGTTTGCGGCTTTGGGACCGGTTGTAGGGGGCTTGACCGTCACTAGTAGACGTTTCTGATTGTGTCGCGGTCACCATGGTAACGACTTTAGCTTCCCTTCCGCCCTTGCGGTGACGTCACTGGCGGAGGCCGGACTGGGGTGGGTTGGGGAGCGCGAGTGCGCATGCGCGTGGGGCGAGGCTGAGGGAGGAGGGAGAGATTCGTGGGAGGACGGAACCCGGGGATGGGACTGGAGGAGTTTCCGTGACCTTGCGGGCTGTTTGTGCTGAGGGGCAGCTTTATTTAAATAATAATATGCGTGCAGGCGCCCTGCATGATTCCTGGCCGCGTGCTTTCTAGTAAGTGCGCAGAGACTTTTCGCAAGAATTGATTCACTCTTTTTTTCCTTCCCTCCCGATTTTTGATTGGAAACCCAGACTTCCTTTCACGCCTGTCGCCAGGTTAACTAGGTCACTGTTTGCTCTCAGTAGCAACCCTGCCTCCCGCAGTTCGCTTGGTCCTTGATTACAGGTTCGTGCTGTGCATTCATTCATTCAGTGAGAGCCGAATAAGTACTAGTGGCCAAGGAGACAGCAGTGAGCTCAACAGTTGAATGGCCTCAGACCTTACCGAGTTTCTCAATACCAGGGTTATTGACATTGGGGGCAGACATTGCTTTGTTCTCGGGGCTGCCCTGTGCGTTGTAGGATGTTGAGGATCTTCCCTCACCTCACCCACGGGATGCCAGGAAAAATCCTCTCCGGCCCCCAACTCCTGGTTGTGACAACCAAAAATGTCTCCAGACATTGCCAAATGTCCCCTGGGGGCTGAAGTCAGCCTACTGAGAACTGCCGCCCTAGAAGTTTTCCAACACTCTTCTATACCTTCCCATAACTTGGTCACCCAGGAAACTCTCACCAGGTGATTGAACTCTGATATGAATGGACATGATCTGACACATTAACTTCATTTTACATAAAATTTAAGAGCACTCCCCTCATCAAAGGGAAGGGATGATTAAATGTACAAAGGCCATTAATGGTATCCAGGAGAAGTTACAAAAAACTAACATCAAGCACCTGGGCATATAATCATCTGGTTAGCATATGAAACCTTCTAATGATAAATGGGTTTATAAAGCTAGTTTAAAAATTAGTTACTACTGGGTTCCCCCAAAATAAAATATATCATTTTTGCATAAGTTGTCTATGGAGGGATTGGCATCCTCTTCTGATGTGGTTTGCCTGTGTCCCCACCCAAATCTCATCTTGAGTTCCCACGTGTGGGAGGGACCCCGTGGGAGGTAATTGAATCATGGGGGCAGGTCTTTCCCATGCTGTTCTTGTGATAGTGAATAAGTCTCACGAGATCTGATGGTTTTTTATAAAGGGGAGGTTCCCTGCTCAAGCTCTCTTCTCTTGTCTGCCGCCATGTGAGACGTGCCTTTGACCTTCTGCCATGATTGTGAGGCCTCCCCAGCCACGTGAAACTGTAAGTCCATTAAACCTTTCTTTTGTAAATTGCCCAGTCTTGGATATGTCTTTATCAGCAGCGTGAAAACAGACTAATACATCTTCTATCTGTCTGTCATCAACTTACTGGGTGGTTTCCGTGGCTTTTAGCAGTTTCTTTATTACATTTTAAAGGATCAGCCCTGTTTGCACATGAATTGCTGTAAGAAAAGACGAGAGCTTCCTAGGAGCTGTTATGCAAACACAGCCATATCAACTCAGTCAGAATGTCTGGAGATGGGAGCCCAGACCTCTGCACTTACAAATAAACAATCATAATCACAGCAGCAGCGGTAACAGTACCTGGCACTAACAAGCATGGTGTACTGACAATGCCTGAACTATGGTTGCAGGATTTCTGTGGAAACACCATCTTTAATTCTCACGATGACTGTATGAAATAGATACAGTCTACATCCCCATTTAACAGAGGAGGACATGGGGACACAAACACGTAAGATAAGTGCAGCTGAAGAGTGGAGTATTTTTTGTTTTACATTTTTAATTCTGGGATAATTTTATATTTACAGAAAAGTTACAATGATATAATCCAGAGCTTTCTCACGTACCCCTTCCGCACTTCCCCTGCTGTTGACATCTTACATAAGCCTAGTAGATGTGTCAGAACCGTAACATTGCTACAGTACTCTTAACGCCAGACTTTATTCACATTTCCCCAGTTTTTTCTCTAACGTCCTTTTCCTGTTCTGGGGTCACATGTGGGACACCACATGACATTTAGTTGCCAGGTCTTCCTGCCCTCCTCTGATCTGCAGTGGTGTCTCTGACTCTCCTTGTTTTTGATGACCTTGACAGTTGTGAGGTGTATGGACCGGGTGTTCTGTACAATGTCCCTCCATTTGGAATTGTCTGATGCTTGCTTATGATTAGACTTGGATTATGGGCAGGAACTGACTTTTAAATTTTTTAAAAAATTTTAATGAAAAATTTTACATTGATACTTGGTTCAGTTATCAGACAACCTTTAACCCTGTTTGGAACAACTTGGATATGTGGATCTACTTTTTAACTATAAATGTTAGAAAATATAATTGCGGATCAATTTTAGCATTCAAATTGAGATGCACCATACGTGAAAAATACACAATGGATTTCAAAGACTTCATACAAAATGAAGGATATAACTGATCTCATTAATAATTGTTTGTGTTGATTAAATGTTGAAATGTATCTTGGATATATTGAATTAAATCGTACATATTATTCAAATTGATTTTACCGGGTTCTGGGCTAATAGGAAGTGTGAAATAAGTGTGGCTCACGGATTTTTATTGGCTAACACCGCCCTAGATAATAACAATACATTAATTGAGAACTATGTGCCAGGCAGTGTGTTTTGGAAATATTGTCTCATTTAGAACACGTGAACACAGAGAGGGGAACAACACGCACTGGGGCCTGTTGGGGTATGGGGTTTCGGGGAGGGAGAGCACTGGGAAAAATAGCTAAGGCCTGCTGGGCTGAATACCTAGGTGATGGATTGATAGGGGCAGCAAACCACCATGGCACACGTTTACCTGTGTAACAAAGCGGCACAGCCTGCACATGTACCCTGGAACTTAAAAATTTAAAAAATATGTATTATCTCATTTAAAGTTTACCTCTATGAGGCAAGCTCAGTAGACTGTTCCTTAAACTACACTTTAAAATGATCCCTGGGGTAAAAGAAGTTTCCATCCGTCTATGAAATATACCAACTGATGCTTCAGGCTCACTGAATGCCCCTGGCTAGTGCAGTGCTTTCTAATATGCCTTCTCTCTTCTCTATCGGTTCAGTTATGTGACTACCAAGAGCTAGTTGAGTTGCATTTATTCGAAACCTTTTCATTCTAATGGGTTTTATTTCAATGATGTAATGCAATCACATTTAACATAAATGAGGAAAATATGAGTGCGTCGGCAAAGAATTGTTTCCACCAAAAGAATAATTCAGTGGGAAAGATGCGATAAAGGCTGATTGTTAGTAAGAGCAACAACAAAAAATACGTCAAGTTGGAATGGGCAAGATGGCTATAGGGATGATTTTTTCTTTTTTTTTAATGCAGCGAGGATTTTGCTTAAATAGCTTTGCAAGCATGCCTATGTCTCCACTGCCCTTCTAAGGTACAAAGTGGAAATTGTAGTCCATAGACCTATAGAATAACACCACCAACCCCTGGTCTTATATCCAAAGATTGGCAAATGAGTGTACAATTTTACATTTTAAAACAAAATGGTAAAAGTATTTTTAATTTCCTATTGGAGCCAACTTATTTGATGAACTAAGCAATGATGGTTCTGATCATGATGGTAAGAAAACTTCTACCCTACTGTTACTATCCCCATTTGACGATAAAATAAGGCATTAAGAGACGATACCCTCCCCAAGGTTGCATATTCATTAAGGGTGGAGCTGGGATTCGAACCCAAGAAACCTTTCTCCAGAGCCCAAGCTCTCAACCAGGACATGGAACCACCTCCAGAGTAGGCAGGAAACATGCAGGCTGGAGAGCTGGACACGGCTTCCTCCTGGAACAGCCACATCCTCACACCTGTATTTCCTCGGGACGGAGCGGGGAGCCCCAAATCTTTACATAAAAGAATACGGACTTTGGAATGAGTCAAACTGGGTCAACTCTCAGCTCTGTAGCTTAGTGTGATGTTGGGAGAGCCATCAGTCCCGCTGAGCTGTAGTTTCTTCACCTGTAAAGTGCACAGTTAACTGATAGGGTTTATGACTCTTGGTAAACCACCAGCATACCTGTTAGTTCTCAGTGTGGGGGAATGGAATAACCCAAACTTTTCAGCCATTTCAACAAGTATACATTTTATTATGGAAGTAGTGGAGACAGTCCGAGAATGGTCTGGAGGAGAGATTTTAGGGGAAACCCCTGCAGTTGCCCTCTCAGCCGCTCTGGGTGCATCCTTCCAAGGCATGGCCCCCACAGACCCCTTCTGGCCATGCCTCTGGGCACCCAGGTGCCATTCCTTAAAGGACCCAGTTCATTACCCTCCACACAGGCAGTCCAGGGGACAGAGAGCTTTCTTCAGAGGTGAGAATGCCTGGGAGATGGAGGCCTTGTGAAGGCTGAGCTGAGATGGAGCAGGCTCACTAGAAAGAACAGCAGGGATCATCCCTAAGAAAGGAGAGAGAAATGTATTTGTGCATTGATTTTCGTCCTCACACATTCTCATACTCCTTGCCTGGTGCCCTGTCCCTCCACCCCACAGGGCTCTTGGTGACCTGCCTCAAGCCCACCTCCTCCCTCCAGCCTAGCCCATTCTCTGCACTCACTAGGTTCCACTAACTTTGTCCCTATGCCCACCAGGCTGTTCCAGCAGCTGGAACACGCTTCCCTCAGATCTCATGGACCCTAGCTCGGCCCCGTCACCAGGGCAAGTGTCTCCTCCTCAGAGCAGGGCTCTTCTAGAAACCAGCCAGCGGGAAGCAGCGCCCCCCTCCAGTTCCTCACTGTCCCCCAATGCCAGGCCTGAGCTTGTGTCGCACCCCTACCTCGCCACTAGAGGGCGCACCCCACAGGAGCGGGGGCTGCCCAGGCCTGGCTGCCCTGCACCCCCAGCCTGGCGCACTGGAGTCAGGCAAGGTTGCAGGAAGAGAACCTTAAGGTTTGCTTCTGGGCACTGGAGTTCCAGGGATGGATCAGGGGTACTTCTTACTCCCAGAGGGGCTCACAGTCTATGTGAGCAGGAGCCCTCAAACTGTGTTCGGCAGGGCCAACTGCAGCCTGCATCCCTTTTCATCAAGTTTCTTTCTGTAATTGAGGTAACATGTAACCATAATGCATAACATAAAATTCACCATTTTAACCATTTTGAAAGTGCACAATTTAGGGACTTTCGGTACGTTCACAATATTGTGCAATTGTCACTTCTAAGAGTGGAATATTTTCATCAACCCAAAAAAGAAATGCATTAAGCAGCCACTCCCCTTATTCCTTTTTCTCCTCAGCCTCTGGCAACTAGTAATTGGCCTTCTGTCTCTTTGAATTTGCCAAATCTGTCCGTTTCATATACATGGCATCATCTACTGTGTAGTCTAGTGCGTCTGCTTCTTTCACTCAGCACCGTGTTTTCAAGGTTCAGCCATGTTGCATGTGCCAGGACCTCACTCCTTTTTTAGGGCTGAATAATAATCCATTGTATGAATGCACCGTGTTTTGTTTATCCATTCATCGGTCGTTGGGCACAGTCACAGCCATCGGTGTATTCTCTATGATTGCTTTGAGCTCCAACAGCAGAGCAGAGTAGTTGCAACAGATCATCTGGCCTGAAAAGCCAACACTTAACTGTTTTGCCCTTCCCAGAGAAAGTTTGCCAACCTCTTGCCTAATGGGTTGAAAGCACACATTTATATGAAAGTAACTATGTGGTTTGACCAGTGCTTTAATGTGTGGTTGAGGAGAGCCTGAGAAACCATTCAACACCATTCTTTTCCTTCAGCAGCCTCCCCAGTGGAATCTGAAGGATTGCTCTTGGTTCCTGAACCAAAGCATTGCTTAGGTGAATCTTGAGGACTGAGGAGGACTTTTCTAGGTCGACAAAGATCAAGGAATCAATGTGTGTAATGGCATAATGTAGCAGGAAAAAAAAGTGATGTTTTCAGGGGAATCAGAAATGGTTTAATATGGGGTGGGTGTGGCGGCTCACGCCTGTAATCCCAGCACTTTGGGAGGCCAAGGTGGGCAGATCACCTGAGGTCAGGAGTTCGAGACCAGCCTGGCCAACATGGTGAAACCCTATCTGTACTAAAAATACAAAAATTAGCCAGGCGTGGTGGTGCATGCCTGTAATCCCAGCTACTAGGGAGGCTGAGGCAGGAGAATCGTTTGAAACTGGGAGGCAGAGGCTGCAGTGAGCTGAGACTGGGCCACTGTGCTCCAGCCTGGGTGACAGAGTGAGCCTCTAACAAAAAAAAAAAAAAAGACATGGTTTAATACGGACAAGGGATGGATTGTGGGTGGGGGGGATAAAGAGAAGTGGAGAAAAGTTTAGAGAAGCAGGAGAAGCTTGGAGCCTGAGAACCCTCGGGTACCATGCCAGGGAGCTGAACTTGATCAATGGGGCAGAGGCTTCCTGCCAGGTTCTCTGAAAACTTGGGATCTTTTAGGAACTCTACAAAGGTTTGCTTTTTCATTTCAAAAATGAAACTATTTTTTAAAATGGGTGTATACCCAAAATAGAGCACATGGACTGAAGTTTTTATTCACTGGAGAGCCACACCAACCTGCTGCATGTTTTACATCTTGGAAAGATTTTTTTATTACCTGAAGGGCATGTAGAGTTCACAAGGCCAACTGTTAGACAACTGTTACTATTTGCAGTGACTTATCTCTGTGCGTTCAGATTTTTCTCCATATGAACAATTAAAAGGAAACACTGCAAGATACGGGGTAACAGACAGTAATGTAAGACAGCAAAGGCCTTCTGTACCCTGTGCTTGCAAACCTCATCGCCTCACTTCATAGTAAGTAAATGTCACACAGTTAACCTTAGGAAAAGTACTTCTGGTAAAGAAAAGCAACTTAGAATTTTTTATATATTGGGATTCCATGTAAGATTTCAGTAGGAAAGTGTTTTGGGTTTTCTTTCTTTTTAAGTTTGAAAGACACTCGTCATAGTTGATGAGTTTCCACTGGTGGATTTGAGCAGGAGTGCAGCGGGGTTGCGGGTTTATCACATGATTGAGTTGACTTTTTTTTTTTTTTTTTTTGAGACGGAGTCTCGCTCTGTCGCCCAGGCTGGAGTGCAGTGGCCGGATCTCAGCTCACTGCAAGCTCCACCTCCCGGGTTCACGCCATTCTCCTGCCTCAGCCTCCCAAGTAGCTGGGACTCCAGGCGCCCGCCCCTGCGCCCGGCTAGTTTTTTGTATTTTTTTTTAGTAGAGACGGGGTTTCACCGTGTTAGCCAGGATGGTCTCGATCTCCTGACCTCGTGATCCGCCCGTCTCGGCCTCCCAAAGTGCTGGGATTACAGGCTTGAGCCGCCGCGCCCGGCCCGAGTTGACGTTTTTTAGTGTGAAAAGGGCGCTGGGGATGCCAGGGAGAGGATGAAAGGCAGGAGATGCGGGAGAGGTTAGGGAGGAGCCTCTTTGTAGCTATCGAGGGAAGAGAAATCTCCCATCTGTCTTTAGTACTTTCTCTCTCTACCCTAGACCCTAGCCTTGACCAGGCTACCGTCATCTCATGGAAACTGAGTAGCCTCTTAACTGGCCTCCGCACTTGATGTCACTGGGACGTGTCTTTTTCCCACTGACAGCCTTTCCATGGGGTCTAAAGTGCTTGCTCTAATCTTCCAGGTTTGAGGTGGTCTGCTCAGCACGTCACCCACACGCCTCCCACAGTGCCTTCCCACTCCCTCCCCCTTCTCCTGCCCCCGTTATTCTTTCTGACTCCAGGCACATCTAGGCCACTTTCCACCCCAGGGCCTTTGTACAAGCCAGTTCCTTCTTTCACGAGTTCTCTGTGTATCTGACAACCCTGGTTCTACAGGCCTTTGATTCAATGTCACTTTCCCAAAGAGGCTTTCCTTCATCACCCAACTATCCAGGGCAAGCTTCTTTAGTTCTCTTTTTCATCATATCCTGAGGTCTTCCTCCGTAGCTCTAAGTATCACCTGTAATCATCTAATTGTTTTCTTGTGAGCACAGGAATCTTGTCTGCCCTGTTCACCACTGCATCCAGGATGCATCAGTGAGTCGTTGTAAACACAGAATTATCATATGACCCAGCAATTCCACTCCTAGGCATGTACCCCGAAAGATTTTAAAACAGATATTCTAACAAAACTTGTTTATAAAAATTCATAGCACCGCGACTCACAACAGTCAAAAGGTGGGAGCAACCCAGTGCACTTTACCTGATGATGGATAAACAGAGCGTGCTATATCCATGCAGTAGAGTATCACCCAGCAGAAACGAATACAGTCCTGATACAAGGTGTACCATGATGAACCTTGGAAATACTACACCAAATGAATAAAGCCGGATGCAAAGGGCTACGTAGTGTATGACTCCATGGGTATGAAATGACCAGAATAGGGGAGTTCTCAGAGACAGAGTAGACTAGTGGTTGCCAGGAGCTGGGGGAAGAGATGGTGTCATTGGTACAGAGTTCCCTTTGAGGATGATGAGAAGATTCTGGAAACAGATTAGTGGTGATGGCCACACAGTATTGTGAGTGCACTGGAAGTCACTAACGGTTAATTGTATGTTGTGTGTGTTGGGCCACAAGTCCTAAGACCTGTGAAAAAAAATGATCAAGTGAATGTATAAAGGGAGTTCCTCCTGCCGGGCATGTCCCTGTCATTTACAATGTGTTTCCTTGCCCGTGTCAGGCAGTGGCTTGCAATTAAGGGTGATGAACTTGGGACTTCTCATGCAATTCTGGGTGTCTATGATTGCAGCTTCCAAATCCACCTGTGTTCCTTACCTCACACGCCAGGCAGCTGGGATGAACCGCCCCCAGCCCCACCCCAGCGGTGCGAAAAGCCCATTCCTGACTGTAGCCTACCTGATGTCCAGTTCCGAGTTACAGTAGTGGCAGTAACACTTGGGAGGAACAAGTGAACCGGGAACAGAAAAAGAAACAGCTGGGGTGAGGCGAGTGTATTCCTTCCTTCCCTCCCTTTCTCCCCATCCCCCTCTCCCTTCTTTCCTGTCCTCCCCGTCTGCTCTTTCCCTCTGGTTGTGACATCCTGTGGTCTTGCTTCACCATTCAGCCCGCCTCTCACCACTCCCACCTTCTTCCCCATCTTCCAGCCAGTCCTCCTCATCCCCATAAGCAGCACAATCCCCTAAGCTGGGGTTTCTCACTCTCAGGTTCCTGATGTTTTGACCCGGGTTATTTCTGTCGTGGTGCACCGTCCTGGGCCGTGTGGCATGTTGAGTGGCCATCCTGGCCTCTGCCCACTAGATGCCAGTCGAGCGCCCTCCTCCAGCTGTCACAACCAATCCTGTGGTCCAGACACTGTTGAGTGTCCCCTGGGTGGCAACGTCACCCCCGTTTCAGAACCACTAGCATAATTCAAGTCTCTGTCTCAGGCTCATCTCCCTGTTCTCTCCATTTCCCTTATTCCTCACACCCAGCGCATAAGCAGTTCCTGTAGAACTGCGGCACGGTTCTCATCTCCACCAGCACCGCCACGTCTCCTGCCCCGGCTGGTCCAGGGCCTCCTCTCCGTCTGTCTGCTCCCACTCTCGCCCTGTTTCCGATCCACTCTCCACAGGCAGCACCGAGAAGGATCCTTTCGTAACTCAGAAGGGATCTCGCTGATGGCTGTCCACCAGATTAGAACACAAGCTTCCTTCTCGTCTGGTCTATGAGAACCTTACATGACCTGGACCCCCCTGCTCCTCTCAGGTTACATAGATGTTCCTTTGGTTCCTTGAAGGCACTCAGCGTGTCCCTGCCTGGGGGTCTGCTGGGCCTGCTTTGCTTACAGTGGTTACCCCCAAGCTGCTCTGAAGGCGAGATCCTTCCACTGTCTCATCTCTCTGTCCAGACATCACCTGCCTGGGGAAGGCTGCCCGTGGCCCTGCTCGCTCTGTGATATCACCCTGATTTAGTTTATGTTTTTTGGAGCTGGTTGCTTGTTTCTCTGCAGTCCTCCTGCCGTCCCAATCATGGGAGCCTCAGGGACTCAAGGACGTTATGGGTTCTGTTCTCTGAGTCCCCAGCATCTAGGATGGGTCTTCTACACACGTGAATATTTGAAGACTGACTGAATCAATGAATGAAGGATGACTTGTCCTTCTTTTTTTTTCCTATTTAATTTCTTGAGTCAGAGTCTCACTCTGTCACCCAGGCTGGTGCGATCTCGGCCTCCTGGGTTCAAGTGATTCCCTTGCCTCAGCCTCCCGAGTAGCTGGGACTATAGGCACGCACCACCATGCCCGGCTACTTTTTGTATTTTTAGTAGAGATGGGGTTTCACCATGTTGACCAGGCTGGTCTTGAACTCCTGGCCTCAAGTGATCCAGCTGCCTCGGCCTCCCAACGTGCTGCGATTACAGGCGTGAGCTACCACGCCCGGCCTGGCCTGTAGTTTCTTGCACTCTGCCTTATGTTCACCTCTCTGAGTCTGGCACATGGTGTTCCCTCTGGAATGCTTCCCCTGCTTCCCCTCCTCAATTGGCTAATTCCATCCTGTCCTTAACCCACAGTGGAGGTGTCACCTCCTGCAGAAAGCCTTCCATGAGCCCACGCTTCCCCTAGGCTGAGGTAAGCACCACTGCCTCCCGCACTAGCACCTGCTCGTGAAGTGCTACCACTCGGTGATCTGGTTCTCTCTGTGGGTGCCTGCCTCCTTTACAAACTTAGGACCTTCTTGAAGGTAGCTCAACCATCAAAGTCCCCAGCAACCAGCAACAAGCTTGGTCCTTATGAATGTCCCTTAGAAAAAGCAAGAGACAGCAACGGAGAGAGAGGCAGAATGAGTGACAGTATTTCAGAGGAGCCCCTGGGACTGTTAGTACAGAAGGGAGTAGCATTTATCCCAGTCTAGAGGTGGGAGGGAGGGAAGAAGGAAAGAGAAGGAGGGAGAGAGAATGAGGGAGGGAGGAAGGAAAGAAGGGGTGAAAGAAAGGGAAGGGGGAAGGGAGGGAGGGAGGAGGAGGAGGAAGGAAAGGAAGGGGGAGAGGAAGAAAAGGAAGAGGGGGAGGAAGAAAAGGAAGGGGGAGAGGAAGAAAAGGAAGAGGGGGAGGAAGAAAAGGAAGAGGGGGAGGAAGAAATGGAAGGGGGGAGGAAGAAAAGGAAGAGAGGGGGAAGGAGGAAGGAAGGGGGAGGAAGAAAAGGATAGGAGGGGGAAGGAGAGAGCAAAGAGAGGGAAGAAGAAAAGGATGGGAGGGGGAAGGAGGGAGGAAAGGGGGAGGAACAAAAGGGAGGGAGGAAGGAAGGAAAGGGCAGAGAAGGAAGAAGGATGGGAAGGAAGAAGGAAGGGAGGAAGCAGATGGAGGAAGAAAGAAAGGAAGTGAGAAAGGGAGGGATGAAGGGAGAAAGAGGAAAGAATAGGGAGGGAGGAGAGAGAAGGAGGAATTAAGGGAGGGAAGAAAAAAGGAAGAGAAGAAAGGAGGAAGGAAGGGGAGGGAGGGAGGAAGAAAGAAGAGGGAAGAAGGAGAGAGTAAGGAATAATGAAGTGAGGGAGGGAGGGAGGAAGAGCAGGAAGGAGAGAGTTTTACAGAAGGGCTCTCCCACCACTTCCTGCTTGGCACCTCTGAGGCTGCCTCCTTCGCTTCCTCTGTGCCCCTACTTCCCTCCTCTTTGCTTCCTCTCCTCACCCTCCTCCCCTCTGTGCTGCCTCCTTCTTACCCAGTCCCCTTTGTTGTAGGATACGAAGAGGTAGGTTATCACCATGTAGGCGCATTTCAGGAAGTTCCACGTGTTCTTCCTCTTGGGCAGTGGTTTCCTGGATGGGGTGGTGCCTGAGAAGGGTTTAACTGGAGAGAACCATGGAGATGATTGATGCTGATGGCCTTCCCTTCCTGCCCTAGAGCTTCCTGCCACTGCTGTCTCTCCATTCTGATTTCCAAACTCACATCTCTGCCTGCCTCCTGAATTGACATTTTGGTCCACACCCACCGTCACTGCCGGCTTCCCGCTTCTTCGTTACCACCATATCCCAGGCAGTCAGGAATGCCTTTTGGCTCTCGCACCTCACATCCAAGACGTCACCAAGTCTGACCCTGTCTTGCCCAGATTTCTCACCCAACTGTCAGGGGTTTGAACCACAGTGACTCCATCTTGAATAGGGGCTGGGTAAAATGAGGCTGAGCCCTACTGGGCTGCATTCCCAGGAGTTTAAGGCATTCTCGGTCACAGGATGACAATAGGAGGTTGGCACAAGATACAGGTCACAAAGACCCTGCTGATAAAAACAGGTTGCGGTAAAGCAGCTGCCAAAACCCACCGAAACCAAGACGGCGATTAAAGTGACCTCTGGGGGTCCTCACTGCTCATTATATACTAATTATAACGCATTAGCAGGCTAAGAGACGTGTCTACCAGCACCGTGACGGTTTACAAATGTCATGGCAACATCAGGAAGTTCCCCTACATGGCCTAAAAAAGGGAAGCACCCTCAGCTCCAGGAGGTCTCCACTCCTTCCCTGGAAAACTCATAAATAATCCACCCTTTGTTTATCATATAATCAGGAAATAACTGTAAGTAGCCTCGGTCCAGCAGCCCTTGCTGCTGCTCTGCCTATGCAGTAGCCGTTCTTTTAGTCCTTTACTTTCTTAATAAACTTGCTCTCCCTTTATGGACTTGCCTCAAATTCTTCCTTGCACAGGTTCAAAAACCCTCTCTGGGGGTCTTGATCGGGACCCCTTTCCAGTGACAAAACCACCACCTCTCCCCCGTCCCCAGGCTTCAGGCCCTGCTCTTGATGGCTGCCTCTGCCCCCGACGCCACCCTTTCTCTTTCTCATCCATCTCCCACAGGAGTGCCCGCAGGATCTTTCTAGCACCAGATCTGACCGTGTCACTTTCTTACTTCAAACCTCATGTGGTGCACGAGTGTTTCTTTCGCCTGTGTAACATTTTTCCTTTGTATTTTTATTTTAAAAATATTACATTCAGAAAATCTGTTTTTTTTTTTTTTTTTTTTACGGGTAAACCTGTCTGTCTAAACAGGTTTCCAATCAAAAAATAATTACCAGTGTACAGGCAAATACAAATCGAAAGAAAAAAATTAATTCTTCCTGTTGAAAATTCAGGAAGCGATTCCTCCTTGTCCCCTTTGCTTAGAGCATTTACTTTAGAAAACTTTTTGCCATCGCAAGTCTCTCTCTCTTCAACATTTATGCTAATCTTTTTCAAAGCTAAGGAAGCCTGCGGCCGGCATTATGACCCAGGAAGGTGTTTTTAAGGACCTGGAAACCATCCCTTGGAAATGTAAACATCGAGGAAGATAGCACCCAGTTCTCCCCAGCTTCTTGTTGGGAGGGGATGGAGCCTAACTTTGGTGGGCACCTCACTCCAAGTAGCAAATCGACCTCCTGTGATATTTTAGAAGTTTAGCTGGGTGCAGTGGCTTATGCCTGTAATCCCAGCACTTTGGGAGGCCAACGCAGGCAGATCACAAGGCCAGGAGATCAAGACCATCTTGGCTAACACGATGAAACCCCATCTCTACTAAAAATACAAAAAAAATTAGCCGGGTGTGGTGGCGGGCGCCTGTAGTCCCAGCTACTCGGGAGGCTGAGGCAGGAGAATGGTGTGAACCTGGGAGGCGGAGCTTGCAGTGAGCCAAGATCGCGCCCCTGCACTCCAGCCTGGTGAAAGAGTGAGACTCTGTCTCAAAAAAAATAAAAATAAAAAAGAAGTTTATTTTTCCGTTAGATTAAGCCAATGAACACAGATGGCTATCCCAATAACCAAGTGAATTTAGGGTGAACCATGTACAGCAAATAGCGTTATCAAGTCCTCTTACTTGAGAACTGGCTGTTGTGTATCTTGAGAGCAGGTGTGTAATAAGTTGTATCTGCTTGACTATATAAAGGGTGATTTTTTTTTTCTGTCTTTGCACTCTCTTCGCATATCACGTTCTGGTTTAATGCTTACAGGCTAATAAAACTATTTTCTTTCTCTTCTACCTGGGTAGAGAAGATCTCTGGGTTTGGAGGATATTTTGTTTTTAATTGTATTTCACCAACACCAGCATATCCCAAGCCTCTCAGATATACCCTCCCAATCAAAGGTACACAATCACATCTATCAAAAATGAGGCTCACCTTTCTTTCTTCGCAATCCTTTGGTCTATTATTTCCTTTCTCTTGCCTGGCTAGGACTTGCACTGCATAGAACATTCAGTCTGGTGTGAAATGCAAGTGGCGATAGCAAGAATGTCTCATCTGTGATCTCAGAGGGAACGTGTTCTATATCCTCAGCCCTCTGTGTCGCTGGACTCCACATCTGAGGACCCAGCCAACAACTGGTCAAAAATACTTTTTAAAATCCCAATAAAAATAGCAATACAGCAGGCTGGGCGCGGTGGCTCACGCCTGTAATCCCAGCACTTTGGGAGGCCGAGGCGGGCAGATCACAAGGTCAGGAGATCAAGGTCATCCTGGCTAACATGGTGAAACCCCCATCTCTACTAAAAATGCAAAAAATTAGCCGGGCGTGGTGGTGGCGGCGCCTGTAGTCCCAGCTACTCAGGAGGCTGAGGCAGGAGAATGGCGGGAACCCGAGAAGCGGAGCTTGCAGTGAGCCGAGATTGTGCCACTGCACTCCAGCCTGGGCAACAGAGCAAGACTCCTCAAAAAAAAAAAAAAAGCAATACAACAATGAAAACAATACAAAAATATAACAGTATAATAACTATTTAAGGAGCATTTACATTGTATTATAAGTAATCTAGAGATGATCTAAAGTGTGCAGGAGGCTGAGCATAGGTTAAATGCAAGCGCTCTGCTATTTTATATCACAGACTTGAGCATCAAGGAATTTTGCTATCTGCGGGGAGGTCCTGGACCCAACCCCTGAGGATAGTGAAGGACAACTGTATTTTACCTTAAACAGGTTGTTCCTTGTAAGTTTTTGGAGGCTATTCCTTATTATTTTAAGATGTTCCCTTCTACTCGTAGCTAGCTGAGATTTTTTTTTTTTTTTTTTTTAATCATGAATAAGGCCGGGCATGGTGGCTTACGTCTGTAATTCCGGCACTTTGGGAATCTGAGGCAGGAGGCTCACATGAGCCCAGGAATTTGAGACCAGCCTGAGCAACATAGGGAGACCCCAACTCTACAGAAAATTTAATAAATAAGCTGGGGGTGGTGTCGCGTGCCTGTGGTCCCAGCTACTCAAGAGACTGTAGAGGGGAGGATCACTTGAGCCCAGGAGTTTAGGGTTGTAGTGAGCCGTGATCATGCCACTGCACTCCAGCCTAGGCCACAAAGCTAGACCCTGTCTCAAAAAACATCATGTAAGCTGTAAAATCTTACCATCTTCTTTTTCTGTATCTACTGAAATGATAATGTGCTTGTTTTCCTTTATGGTAATAAGGTGGGAATGGGAATGCCATATATTGGTTTTTACCTATTAAACCATTGTTGCGTTGTTGGAATGCAGTGAATTTGGTCATGATTCTTTAAAACATATTGCCAAATTGGACTTGCTAATATTTAGGATTTTGCATCTATATTTATGGGAAAGACTGGCTTGAAATTTTCATTTTTCCTATTTGTCAGATCTTTTATCAAGGTTATTCTGTCCTAAAAACGAGTTGGGAAATGACTGTTTTTAATTTTCTGGAAGATTTCCTGTAAAATCAGTGTGATTTCTTCCTTTTAATTTGCTCTTAAAGCTATCTTGATCCTGGAAGACCTTTTTTGTGTATGGTGAGGCTATTTAATTACAGATGGCATTTCTTTAATAGATAGAGGATTATTCCAATTTTTTTTTTTTGAGATGGAGTCTTGCTCTGTTGCCAGTCTGGAGTGCAGTGGCACGATCTCGGCTCCCTGCAACCTCCGCCGTCCAGGTTCAAGTGATTCTCCTGCCTCAGCCTCCCGAGTAACTGGGACTACAGGCACCCGCCACCAGGCCTGGCTAATTTTTTTATACTTTTAGTAAAGACAGGATTTCACCAGACAGGGTTTCACCATGTTGGGCAGGATGGTCTCGATCTCCTGACCTCATGATCTGCCTGCCTCAGCCTCCCAAAGTGCCGGGATTACAGGCGTGAGCCACCGCGCCCAGCCCAGATTTTTTATATCATTTCATTTGTTTTTGGTAATTTGTGTTTGTGTTTTTTTGGGATTTTGTCCATTTTATCTAAATTTTCAATTTTATTGGCATAAAGTTTCTCCAATGGTCACCTTATTGTTATTTTGTTACCTGCAAGATCTGCTGTGATGCTCTCTTCTTCCTTCCAAATATTGGCAGTTTGTTTCTCCTCTATTTTTTCTTATCAGTAATGCTAGAGGATTAGTGTTGTTCGGGCGTGTTTTTTTTTTTTTTTTGGAGGCACAATCACGGCTCACTGCAGCCTCCACCTCCCCAGCTCAAATAATCCTCCCGCCTCAGCCTCCCAGGTAGCTGGGACCACAGGTGCTGCCACCATGCCCGGCTCTACCTACTTTAAAGTGCTCATCTCCACCATCTGGATCACTTGGTGGCTTGCCGCTATTTTCTGGTTTTCCTTCCCTTGGTTTTCCGGCCCTCAGTCCTGTCACCCAGGACTTAACCTGGTAATTTCCAGGTCGGGGAAGAGAGGACTCACAGTCCACAGAAGCAGTAGCTGGGATAAAAATATCTCCCAGTCACATCTCAGTGTGTTGAGTCTCCTTGATGCCCATGGGCAGCGTAAAAGGGGCAGGTGGCTGGCAGACTTTGGCTGCCCTTCAGGAAGGCAGCCTCTTAGGTACCAAAGCCCCTGGCCTTGATTACCTGAAATCTTCTAAGGCTCTATCACATATCACAGCCCAGACAGAAGGGACACACTGTCCTATAGATGAGGAACCGTACGACCCCATGCACTTACCTTCATCCTTGCAGTCACTTGTTTCTTCTAAAAATGAAGAGGAGGAGGAGAAAAAGGAGGAGGAAGAGGAAAGGAAGAAAGGGAGGGAGGGAGGAAGAGAAAGAGGAGGAGAAAAGAAAGGAAAAGAAAAGAAACCATCAGGTGAATTATGAAGTGGATGGAGACCAAACTCTAAATAGCGCTTCCAGGTGCCTCGAATGAGGAGAGAAGAGAATCAAGTTAGTCTCCTTGTGTCCCTGGATCCCAGGGACTCTCCTGCCTCAGGGCCTTTGCATATACTGTTCTCTCTTCCTGGAATGCCTTTCCTCCAGTTATCTCTGGCTCACCTACCCTTCTTCTTCAAGCCTTTGCTCAAATGTCATGTTCCCTGATCGCCCTTTAAAACCTTTTTTTTTTTTTTTTTCTGAGACAGAATTTTGGTCTTGTCTTCCAGGCCAGAGTGCAATGGCATGGTCTCGGCTCACTGCAACATCTGCTTCCCAGGTTCAAGCAATTCTCCTGCCTCAACCTCCCGAGTAGCTGGGATTACAGGTGCACACCACCATGCCCAGCTAATTTTTTCTATTTTTACAAAATTCGTTTCAAAATAATTGTTTGTATTTTACTAGAGACGGAGTTTCACCATGTTGGCCAGGCTGGTCTCGAACTTCTGACCTCAGGTGATCCACCCGCCTCGGCCTCCCAAAGTGCTGGGATTACAGGCATGAGCCACCACGCCTGGCCAAAAAACTTAACTTTCCCGCACTGCATTTCCATCTCCATTACTCTATTGTCTCCATAGGACACAATAGCATCCAGCAGACCCGTAACTACTGCTCTTTGTTTTTCTCCTCTGATTGGAATACACGTTCCACTTGGTCACAGACTTCTATCTGTTTTATCGTCTGCTGCATCTCTAACACCTAGAATACGATTTTGTACAGGAGAGCTAACATCGGTTAATATCTGTTGGACAAATAAAAACAGATTAAACATTTATGATGCAGATGATGATGGGGATGAAGAGTGTAAAGTCTGATGATATTTAAGTCCCCCCGCCCCCGCTGCCACCATAGAAAAAGCCACTACCGGCCGGGCGCGGTGGCTCAAGCCTGTAATCCCAGCACTTTGGGAGGCCGAGGCGGGTGGATCACGAGGTCAGGAGATCAAGACTATCCTGGCTAACATGGTGAAACCCCGTCTCTACTAAAAATACAAAAAACTAGCCGGGCGTGGTGGCGGGCGCCTGTAGTCTCAGCTACTTGGGAGGCTGAGGCGGGAGAATGGCGTGAACCCGGGAGGCGGAGCTTGTAGTGAGCTGAGATCACGCCACTGCACTCCAGCCTGGGAGACACAGCGAGACTCCGTCTCAAAAAAAAAAAAAAAAAGAAAAGAAAAAGAAAAAGCCACTACCTCTATATTTCTGTGCACAGGAGTGGACATAAAATAGCACAGTCACCAGACTTACCATGCAGTACTTGGAGGCTCAGCAAGCCTAAGAAAGATAGGGGCATACAACGTGAGTCAAAAGGGAGAGCATGATAAACACTTCCAGACCAGCAGGTGCAGCAGGCTCTCCCCAAGCCACTCCTCCAAGAAGCCCTGCTGGATTGCCCGCATGATCCGCTTCACACTGTCCCCAGTGCCACCTCCCTCCCGTGCCACACGGATTCCTGTTGTAATTTCACTGCCTGTTACTTGTCCATCTCCCCACCTCCCTTAGACTGTGAGTTGATGTGAGGCTATGAGCTCATCAGATCTATCTTTCAGCTTTTCCACCACCCTGCCCAGCCCTAAAAAGCATTTTTCCCAGACCAGCTTCCCACAGAGTCCCAGGCAAGCATGGAGTGAGGTGTTACCTAGGATCTCTGATGTCCATCCAGAAGGAGATGGGGTCCAGAAGGCAAGACAGGTCAGGGGAGCAGACAGGCCCAGAGTGTGGAGTTCCAAGGAGCCATGGAAGAGGAGGCCACATGTAGGGAAAGATCACAACATCAGAAGACAGAGCGATGGGAACGCAGGAGAGCAGAGCCCTGGGTGGGTCGTGCTGAGCAGTCAGGACACGGAGCGGTGAACAGGGCGGACAGTCAGAGGCTGCATGATGTGGGTTGGGGGGGCGTGCGGTGACTTGCAGGATTTGCACAGCAGCAAGGTGAGGCTGGGAAGGAAGCTGCCCCGCCATTCCCAGCTCTTCCGTTTGTTTTTGTTTTGTTTTGTTTGTTTGTTTTTCAGACGGAGTCTCACTCTGTTGCCCAGGCCGGAGTGCAGTGGCACAATCTCAGCTCACTGCAACCTCCGCCTCCCGGGTTCAGGCGATTCTCCTGCCTCAGCCTCCCGAGTAGCTGGGACCACAGGTGCCCGCAACCACACCCAGCTAATTTTTGTATTTTTAGTAGAGACAGAAATTTCACCACGTTGGCCAGGCTGGTCTAGAACTCCTGGCCTCAGGTGATCCGCCTGCCTCGGCCTCCCAAAGCGCTGGGATTACAGGCGTGAGCCACCGCGCCGGGCCTTTTTTCCGTATATTTTGTGTCGCTCTAATGTAGGCACCTACATACTTATCCAGGGGTGGCACATTCCATCCCGCCACCCGTTGTTGTTTTCTGAACTTTTTTAAAAATAACAACTTATGTAAATTCATATAATTTACATAACTTACGATTCACCCATCAAGTGTACAAGATAGTATTTCTTAGTCCATTCACAAAGCTGTGCATCCATCACCATAATCAATTTTAGAACATTTTCATCACCCAAAAAAGAAACCATGTGCCCGTTGGCCACTGCCTCCAAACCCAGTGCCCCTGAGCAGTCACTCTCCATCTCTCTGGGCTCATCCCCCGCTCTCCTGTGGCTCTAGGCAACCGCTAAACTGCTTTCCCTGTCTGTGGAAATTGCCTGCTGTGGACATTTCATAGGGATAGAGTCATACATACCCTGTGTACTTTGGGTCTAGCTTCTTTCACTGAGCACTGTGTTTTCAAGGCTGATTTATGTTGTATCCTGTGTCAGCACTTCCTTTGTGGCTGAATAACATTCCATTGTACGAATAGACACATTTTATTTACCCAGGCATCGGTGGGTGGACATCCTGACACCTGCTTTTGTAGATAAAGTTTTATTGGAACAGAGCCATGCCCATTCACAATGTGCTATCTACTGCTTTTGTAAATAAAGTTTTATTGGAACACAGCCATGCCCATTCACTGTGTGTTGTCTGTGGCTGCTTTCAGGCCACAAAGGCAGCATTGAGTAAGTGAGTGGCAGCAGAGACCACCTGGCCCTCAGAGCCTAAGATATTTACTATTTGGTGCTTTACAGAAAAAAGAAAAAAAAAATTGCCGATTGATCCCTGCTTTATATCATTGAATTCTCAAACAAGCAGAAAATCTTATCTCCATCCATCAGGTAGGAAGACAGAATCTAAGGGAGTTTGGGTAAGTTACACCTACATTATAGGTGATGGGAGGAGAGTTCCCACCCAGGCCCGTTTGCCTTAAAACTCAGGCTGTCTCCACTGAACCACTTGCATCCTGGGTTAATGTGAGGGTCTGAGAGAAAGAACCCACGTGAATCGCCCAGCACAGAGCTTGGCACCAGGTGGGCCCTTAGGCAGGTGTTTGGGATTTTCTTGCTGGGTTTGGGTTTTGCTTGTTCCTGGAGCAGGGCTGGGTCTGCCTTCAGTTTGCGAGGTGCTGTCAGTGCAGCATGAGGACGGAGGCTGGAGAAGGGCCCGGGAAAAGGGGCCAAAGGAGCAGGGCAGAGGGGCCTCCTGCAGACATGGGAGTGTTCAGAACAAACGTAAATGAGGTGGTCCTCACAGCCCCTTGCTGAGTTTTTATCCCGTGCCAGACATTCTATTCAGCGGGCGTTTCTCAACCTCCAGACGAGTGACATTTGGGGCTGGGTAGTTTGTTTGTTGTGGGGGTGGGGCGTCCTGTGCATTGTAGGATGTTTAGCAACATCTCGAGACTCCCCCCATTACATACCATTAGCCTCCCCACCACCTCTCTGAGTTCTGACAACCAAAAATCTCTCTAGGCATTGCCAGGTATCCCCTGAGGGGCAAAATCTCCCCAGTTGGGAATCATCCTGCCAAGTGCACGATCCTGTTTACTCCTCACAACCGTACGAGGCTGGAACTATTATGTGCATTGTACAGACCGGAGGGCTAAGCCTCTCGGGGTGAGGGTCCGAAGCCCACAGAACTAGAAGGTGGTGCCATCAGGACCGGCGCCTACAGTACACACTCTCTGCCAGTTCCTCTTTCCCTTTCTTAGCATAATTTTATGTTCCTTACAATATATACACCATACAATTATAATGATAATACTTCCAGTGTAGGGATGAGGCAGGGACCTCGTTAGTCTGAGCCATTTTCAACACTTTCGCATTTGCATTGTTTAATAGCACCGTTTGGGGATCCAGACTGGGCTTATGTTCTCTGCACCTGACTGGCTGTGTGACCACGAGCAAGCGACTCCCCCTTTCTTACCACAGTGTTCTCAGTTGTAAAACAAGGATGATGACTTGGGGACTATCATGAGTCAAGCACTTACAGCCATGCCTGGTACCCAGAACGTGCTCGTGAGCTGCAGGATACCATTTTTCAATTTGTTTTTTCATATCAGGATGTCTTGGGTTTCATTGAGGCTCAAGCTGCGTAGAAGTGGGGTTTGGAGGTGGGTGCGGGGCATGGACAGGATAGTGTCTCAGAACTGGGGTTCAGATGGCTTTGAATGTGGACCAAAAGAGTGTGTCCTCAGCCAAAAGGTAGAATCAACCCAAAAGTCTATCAGTGGATGACTGGATTAAAAAATGCAGTCTATCCATGCAATGGAGTATTACTCAGCCATGAAAGGGAGTGAAGCACTGTCACAGGCCACCATGTGGCTGAACCTTGAGGACACTGTGCTGAGTGATGAAACCAGACACCGAGGACCACACCATGTATGAGTCCACTTCAATGAGGTACCTAGAATCCTCAAACTTGCAAGGACAGAAGGTGAGATGGTGGTTGCCAGGGCTGAGGTCAGAGGGAGAATGGGGAGTGACTGTTTAATGGGTATTTATTTTGGTGGGGCAGTGATTATAAAGTTCTGGAGTCAGTGGCGATGGTTGCATACCATTGTGAATGCACCAAGTGCCACCAAATCGCACACTTCAAAGTGGTTAAGGTGGGTGCAGTGGCTCATGCCTGTAATCCCAATGCTTTGGGAAGCTGAGGTAGGAGGATTGCTTGAGTCCAGGAGTTGAAGACCAGCCTGGGCAACAAAGCAAACCAAAAAAGTAAAAAAAGAAAAAAGTAAAACAAAGTAAAAACAAACAAAAACAAAACAAAAACAATTAGCTAGGCGTGGTGACGCACATCTGTAGTCCCAGCTCCTCAGTAGGCTAAAGAAGAAGGATTGCTTGAGCCCAGGAGGTCTGCACCACTGCACTCCAGCCTGGACAACAGGGCAAGATCCTGTCTCTAAAAAATGAAAACAGATTACAATGGTAAATTTCATGTTTGTGTATTTTACTACCGTTTCAAGACTGTTTTAAAAATGTGTGTTACCCACATGGCAAACAGTGCCTTTTTCAGGGAACAGCGTGATGAAATGGTCAGAGATGTTCTTGGGGAAACTGAGTCTGAGCCACACAGCAGTGGGAGGCAGCACAGCACCGTGGTTAAGCTGCTGAGTCACGCAGCCCAGGATCCATAACCCGCCGTCACTGCTGGGCTGCCCAGCCTTGACCTAGTTACCTAACGTTTGTCCCTCAGTCATGTGCAGATGAGTAATACTTGCCTTGTGAAGAAGTTGCGGGGAATAACTACACATAACACTTTGAAAAGTGCTGCTCTGGTGCCTCGCACCTGGCACCTAGAAAGCTCTTTGTAAATTTTCCTCACTGTTGTCACCATCATCATCATGGCATTACATGAATGCCTGATTTGAGGAGGGATTGGTTGCCATGAGACACCTCATCTGTTTGAAGGTGATGGTAATATAGCTATTTTTTCCCAGTCCTTGAGTTTAAAAAAAAAAAAAGAAAGATGGTCAAAAGCTGAGAGATGATCCATGGCTAAGAGTGGACCTCCCTTGGCAGAGACGAGAGCAGGAGCAAAACAGAAGGGGTCAAATGTGAAACAAGACTCTTACGTTTCAGTACTGTTGAGATGCGATGCCAGGAGCAGAAGATCCAGTGGGCATTGTTGGGCAGCAGTGGAGGCACCGAGAGGAGAGGAAAAGAAAGGAGTTAGTGATGCCTCCTTCCTCGCTCCTCCCACCCTGTGGTTCTCAGAACAGACCTTCCCGAAAAAGAGAAATAAAGTGTCTTCCAGATTCAATGGGACAGGCTGGGGCCCAGGATGGGTGACTCGAGATGCTTCTTTGAGACTTTACTCCTTTAGAGACGCATTAATCCAGGTGGACAGAAGCCCCAGGTATTCCATTTCCATGGGGTTTCATCTTCCAGAGATTAGGAAGAAACTAGAGCATCCCTTTGAGCCTCCAGGGTTCTCTCTCATTTCTCCCCCCGAGGGTCAGGAGGGAGAGAGCCTGAGGAAGGAGCGAGGTGCCCCTCTTCGGTTCTCTTCTCAATGGCCCTCCCAACAAATACGTACAACTCAATGCTTTCTTGTCTTCTGGGGCAGTGGTCCTGTGAGCTTCGGGACGTGATATGCCAAGGGCTCACATACTCAGTCCTGCATGTAGCCCAGATCCACTGCACCCCGGACACCCGCGCGGCTCTCCACACCATCTGGGGCTTGCAGCCCACCCCGAAACCCCTTCAGAGAGGGGGGCGCAGATGGAGGGGCCCTCTCAACTTGTGTTCTGCCTTGAGAAGAACTATCCAAAGATTCCCTTCTTTTCCTTGTTGTCTCTTCTTCCCAGCATCTGAAAACTTCCAAGTGACCCATAGGAAAGGAAAAATAACTTACTTTTCACTGGAGGAAGTAGCAGAACCAGCATTCAGGGAGTCAGGATGGAGAAGAGTGAGCAAGAGAATAGAATCAGCAGTACAGGACATTCAATTATTCCTCCATTCAAAATTGTAAAAATATTTTAAACTGTTTACATATTTATATTTAATAGAGAAGGGAAGCTAGCTTACAAGAGACAATTACTAAAGTTTAGGAATTGTACAATGCAGCCGTCAGACCCTTAGCCTCCTGAAGTCAGGCATGGTCAGAGTATTTACACGGTGGGAAGTGGCCGTCACTACAAACCAGGGCCCCCTTTCCCACTCTCCCCTTGCAGAGGTAGTTGTTAGACATTTACCAGCACAATATAGCTTAGATTCTTTGGCAGAATCTGTTCTGATGATGCTCCTGATGCCAGGCCAATGGCTAAACACTGGGGCCTGGACCTACCCTTCCCCGGCATTTTCTTTTTTCTTTTTTTTTCTTTTTTTGAGATAGAGTCTCTCTCTGTCGCCCAGGCTGGAGTGCAGTGGCGCAATCTCGGCTCACTGCAAGCTCCGCCTCCCGGGTTCACGCCATTCTCCTGCCTCAGCCTCCCCAGTAGCTGGGACTACAGGCGCCCGCCACCACGCCTGACTAATTTTTTGTATTTTTCGTAGAGACGGGGTTTCACCATGTTAGCCAGGATCGTCTCGATCTCCTGACCTCGTGATCCGCCCGCCTCGGCCTCCCAAAGTGCTGGGATTACAGGCGTGAGCCACAGCTCCCGGCCACTCCGCATTTTCTTAAAGGAGTTTGAAGGCTCAGCAGGGATTATGAGAATCTAATTTCAGAGACAAAAATTGTCACAGTACTTACTTTCTTCTTCTGTCCTGTCTGGAGGCGAGAATGTAGGCAGCCCAGGTTGCAATGGAGGAGCAGAGCAGAGAGAAATCAGCATTAAGACATGGGTCCAGACACCAGCGACCAGACTGAGTATCCCTGACCAGTCAGAGGAGGGCAGAGGTGGAAATGCTACTGGAGACAGGGTAACCCAACTCACTCATTTTACGGGTAAAGACACAGACTCAAGCACTCAGTCAAGCCTTCTAACAAATGTTTATGAGGCATCTCCTGTGTGCTGGGCATCACGCAAGGTATGGAGGGTGCAGTGGAAAGCAAGGCAGATGCTCAGGGTGCTCACAGACTAGTCAGAGAGAAGCAGGAGCAAAGGCATCAAAAGTGGGGTTTGGGTGGGACGAGTGTTCTGGGTAGACCTGCTGGGTTCCGTGGGAACCTCTAAGGGGGCGATGGTTGCTGACCTTGCGGGGACACCAGGGGAGGCGTCTTGAGGGAAGTGATGTTGTGTCTGAGACCTGGAAGATGAGCAGGGGTTAGCTGGGTGAAGAAATGTGGAAGAGGAGGGAGGAAAGCGTCGCAGGCAGAGGGAACAATGTGGGCGTCTTCCTGGGCGGGATGGAGCCTGCAGTGGCAGGGGGCTTGAAGGAGCCCACCTCAGGGGCATGATGGTAGGTGATCATGGCACGAGACGTGGCTGGAGGGTATCTGGAGCTCAGTAACGCTGAGCCCTGTGGGTCAACCGAAGGGCCTCAGCCTTCATCCTAAGAACAGCAGACACCATGAACCCATTTGGGCCCGTGCTGCGATCTTGGCTCTGCCACACCAGCCTCGTGACCATCAGCAACTCACTCCATCTCCTTGTGCCTCCGTCTCCTCATCAGAAAAGTGGAATCATAAATAAGAGACTCACCCTCCTGGTTTGCCCAGAACCAAAGGGGTTCCCAGGATGCGAGAGTTTCAGAGCTAACACTGGAAGTGTCCTCGGACGAGCTGGTCGCTTTTGTGGCATTTACATCTCTCAGGGGGTTATAAGGAGGAAAAGAATCCAGGCAAAGCGATACTTGGAAAGTCATTGGCTGATTTAAGGTGCTGAATGAATCTACTGTTAGGAGCCACCTTGCCTCTGATGCTCTGCCTGCTTCTGGACCTCAGTTTCCCCAGCTGTTTAGTGACTCAGATGATTTCCAGCCCCGCGAGTCTGTGACTCCCGCCACATCCGCCTCGACTCCCCGCCGCCATTATACCTGTCAGTGGCTACATTCGATTGGTGCTTGGTTTCGTGGCAGGCACTTCGCATGTGCAGTAAGAACATTTTGTGTTTTATAAGGTCCGGCTGCATTCCAAGGAGGAAGCTTCTGGTGCACAGAGGGCTGATATTTATGGGGTGGATGGATTTGGGGGGATGGGAGTGAGGGAGAACTGAATTATTGAGCTTGTTAAAAGGAGACTGTGCAGCTCCACAGGCGATGTGGGAGGGAGGAGAGGCGGGAAGAGAAGAAAAGCAGAGGTGAGCAGAGTTGGTAAGATGAGGAACCATGTGCTTGAGGCTGGCCTGTTCCTGACACTGTCATCTTCATCAAAACCCAGTCATTATAGGTTTCTGTAAGATTTTTCCCACAGCACGTTTCTTGGGGGAACCCATGGAGGAGAGTTCTACTTCCAGGTTGATGGGAAAACAGAGAAAGTGCATGGTTGTTTAGCCACCTAAGAAGGACAGAACTCAGAAACCGTCATCACATAGTAACAGACACCACAAGGAAGACTTTGGGCTCCAGAATCCATGGAATGGTGGGGGTGGGAGGGAGTCAAATCCACTTTCGCCGGCTCCCTAATATCTGAGTGTTTCTGACACGTTATCATCATCCTACAACCACACTGTGCAGTGCGGGCTGCGAATCCTGGTGGACCAGAAAGAAAACAGACTTGTCCTGGGTGGCGTGTGCTGGTAAATAGTGGAGCCAGGTGGAAATTCCAGATAGGGATGTATTGGGAAGCCCCGCTAGCATCCGCCCTGCCGGGCATCTCCAGCCGTGAGAGGTGAGCGCTTGGTGATGCCGAGCAGATCTCAGGCGGACACAGGAATTCAGCATGAACTCCTTGGGTGCCACATGGTGAGAACGTTTTTCTCCCTTTAATTCTCTTTCAACCAGAGAGAAATTCTCAAAATGGCACTAACTCATCTTTAACTCATAACACTTGCTAGTCGTTTTTTTTTTTTAATATTTTTTAAATTTTTATGTATTTATTTATTTATTTTGAGGCAGAGTCTGGCTCTGTCGCCCAGGCTGGAGTGCAGTGGCGCGATCTCGGCTCACTGCAACCTCCACCTCCCGGGTTCACACCATTCTTCTGCCTCAGCCTCCCGAGGAGCTGGGACTACAGGCACCGCCACCTCGCCCGGCTAATTTTTAGTATTTTTAGTAGAGACGGGGTTTCACCGTGTTAGCCAGGATGGTCTCGATCTCCTGACCTCGTGATCCGCCCGCTGCCCACCTTGGCCTCCCAAAGTGCTGGGGTGACAGGCGTGAGCCACCGCGCCCGGCCGCCAGTCTTTATTTCCACTGAACAGCGAGAACAACCTTCGCACAAAGAGCCTTGGCAGAAAAACAGTGTCTAGTTATAATTTAATCACGTTTTGTTTTCGCCATATTTATCTTCATGGTTGTCTCCTCCTTACGACGAGTGGTAACACTGGCTGACCACTGAAGCGGCCTCAAGGGTCCTTTTCAAGTTTATTTACTTAAGGAAAAAGCTTTGTGTCCATTTAAAGAATGATAGATGTGGGGGTTCTGGCCGTGCATAGATGCAGCTAGAACTCCTGTTGGGGTTCAGTCCATCTGTGAAAAAAAATATGTGGGGGGCAATTTTTTTTTTGGCCACCACATTATCAAAAATAAAAAGTCAAGGCCGGGCGCAGTGACTCACGCCTGGAATCCCAGCACTTTGGGAGGCCGAGGCAGGCGGATCACAAGGTCAGGAGTCCGAGACCAGCCTGACCAACATGGTGAAATCCCATCCTTACTAATAATACAAAAATTAACCGGGTGTGGTGGCGGTTGCTTCTAGTCCCAGCTACTCAGGAGGCTGAGGTAGGAGAATGGCTTGAACCCAGGAGGCAGAGGTTGCAGTGAGCCGAGATCGCACCGCTGCACTCCAGCCTGGGCAGCAGAGCGAGGCTCCGTCTCTAAATAAATAAGTAAATAGTTAGATAATATCCCATGCTGCTGAAGGTGTGGGGAAACAAACAGCCCTACAGGTTGTATATGAGGGTGCAAATTTGTTGAACATCTGTCCAGATTTAACAGGCAGATACCCTTTGACCCAGCCATTTCCCTTTTAGGAACTTAACAGATAGGAATTTGCAAAAATAAAAAAAGCAATGATTGGATAAGGATTTCCATTATAGCGCTGTTTATAATAACATCAAAACAAAATAAAACAAAACTGGGCCGGGCGCAGTGGCTCACGCCTGTCATCCCAGCACTTTGGGAGGCCAAGGCGGGCAGATCACAAGGTCAGGAGTTCGAGACCAGCCTGGCCGACACGGTGAAACCCTGTCTCTACTAAAATTACAATACTACTACTAATAATAATAATTTAAAAATTAAAACAAAACTGGAATCAAAATATGTTAGGAATCCCAGTCAACAGGGTGAAAGGAAACTAAAAACTAAAAACATATATATTAGGAAAAAAGTAAATGTCCATGAACAAGAGGGTCATTAAATTATGGGAGTATACATGAAGCATTTTTCAGATATTTGAAAGAGGTAAAGTTATATCACTAAAACACATAATACTTTTAACTTGAAGAGTTAAGGATGTATGTACATGTGTGTGACTATTTCTTGGGAGAATACACGTGAGTCTAGACATCGTGCTTGCTTCTAGAGGGCAGAGCTGGGAATGTGGTGAAGAGAATGATTTTGACACTCATTTTATGTTCCCTCACTATTTTCCCATGTGCCTATGCTATTTCTAAAACTTAAAAAACACCACAGTGTCATAATTATTAGGCAAAATTCTACTTGTAACCTTATATAATAATAAAGATTTTCATTACGTCAAAGCTCAAACAAAACACGGGCTTGGATAATACCTGGAGGGTTCTTTAAGACTCTACATAAAAGCGTAAATGACTCAATAAGTCTGCATGACCTTGCGGACAAGAGAAAAGAAAGACCAGCTTCAAAAGATAGAATCCTGACACTTACCGTCCGGTGACAGCCTGCTCATCAGACCTGAGGAGGAAGACATAGAGCATGATGTGCAAATGCAACAGAAAGGAATATTTCTCATTAATGGATTTCCCCGAGTTCAACAAATGTAACAAACTCTTCTTCAGGAAGTGTGGCTATACTACCTCAGTCCTGATGCCTCATTATTCCCACTTAATCCCCATTCCTCCCTCTATCAGTCACAGCAAGGCCAGGCGCAGTGGCTCAGGCCTGTAATTCTAGCACTTTGGGGGCTGAGGCGGGTGGATCACCTGAGGTCAGGAGCTCAAGACCATCCTGGCCAACATGACGAAACCCCATCTCTACTAAAAATACAAAAATTAGCCAGGCGTGGTGGCGGGTGCCTGTAAGTAATCCCAGCTACTCGGGAGGCTGAGGTGGGAGAATGGCGTGAACCCGGGAGGCAGAGGCGCTGCAGTCACCCAAGATTGCACCACTGCATTTCAGCCTGAGTGACAGAGTGAGACTCCGTCTCAAAAGAAAAAAAAAAAGACAGCAAGCATCACTCGTCTCTAATCTAATTTCTGTTTACTTGTCTCTGTTTCCCACCAGACTCTGAGTTTATAAAGAGTGATCATATCAGATCCACCTCTGGGCTCCCATCGCCCAAGCATGAGTCCAGGCACAGACTAGATACTCAGAAATCCTTGCTCAAAATTTCCCACCAGAGTGCACAGTCCAGGGGCATTGGGAAGTGGCAAAGTGTTTACCTACGATCCCTGATGGTAGCCCATCCAGGAAGAGTCAGTGTGGTGGCCAAGGTTACGTGCATGGTCCAGAATGTTGTCCCCAAGAGGTCACAAAGATGAAGCCATAATCAGAAAACCAAAAACAAGGTCAGATGCTGGGGGCTGGGAACAGATTGGGAAGTAGAATCCACAAGGGATCATGCGTGGTAAGCAGTTAGGGACTAAGACTCAGAACGCTGTGAGATTATTGAAGACCCCAGTGCATTTGATGCAGGGAAGAGCGTCCAAAGTAGGGAAAGAGGTTGGGACAACAATCATGAACCATTCTTCATTCATGCTAGGAGCGGAAGAAAAGATGATCCTTTATTGTCTCTAGAAAGAGGAGCCAAGCTCTGTCCTTCTGTTTACCCCACACCAGCCCTCTGAGATCAGATATTGTCCCCATGTTGCTGACAAGGACAGGTGAACCTCCAAGGAATTACGTGATTTGCAGAGACCTGTGCAACTGGCGAGTGAAAAAGCAGGAACTCAGACTTAGATCTCTCTGACTCCTTCTAGAAGTCTCCATTTCCTCATCTACAAAACGGGAACGTTAACTGGGGTGAGGCTTCCTACCTATTGAAGAATCCCACTAGGTTTGCTAGTGGAAAGTGCTGTATTTATGGAGCTCACAACACCTTTCTCAGTGTCACTGAAATTCATCTGGTAGTTAATGCCTAACGTTGTTGGGAATATTGATGTGGGCATTGAATGGTTGATATCCAGGCTATGCATTTTACTAAGTGGGTGGCCGTGGGATGATCAATGAACTCTCTGTGCTCTTTAAAATGGAGATGTTGGCCCGGTGCGGTGGCTCAAGCCTGTAATCCCAGCACTTTGGGAGGCCGAGACGGGCGGATCACGAGGTCAGGAGATTGAGACCATCCTGGCTAACACAGTGAAACCCCGTCTCTACTAAAAAAATACAAAAAATTAGCCGGGCGAGGTGGCGGGCGCCTGTAGTCCCAGCTACTCGGGAGGCTGAGGCAGGAGAATGGCGTGAACCCGGGAGGCGGAGCTTGCAGTGAGCTGAGATCACGCCACTGCACTCCAGCCTGGGCGACAGAGCGAGACTCTGCCTCAAAAAAAAAAAAAATTAATTAAATTAAAAAAATAAAATAAAATAAAAAGGAGATATTATTTCCCGTTCGGAGCTATGTCAATAAAGAAGGAAGATAATGCAGACTGAGTACTTAGCCTAGCTCCTGGCTCAAAGCAACATTTAGTAAAGTTAGAAATAGTAATATGAGGTAAGTAGTCATAATGATGATGCTAATAGTATTGGTTTCATACATAAGGGTGTGCACATGTGTGTGTGGTGGGGGCAGAGACATGGACTCAGAAAGAGGTGGTGAAGTCTGGATTTCTTGAGTTGAAAATGTTTTGCAACCATAACTTCATTTAACCTTGCAAAGGAGGCATAGAGAGGTGAAGTGACTTCTCTAAGATTGCCCCACCTAAGAAGGAGCAGAATTAGGCTCCACATGCAAAGCTGCCTAACGTGGGCCTTGTACCCTTTCTGCGAGTCATCGTCTCACTTCCTGACCTAGCCTTCTGCCCCTAAATCTTGCAAACTCAGTGACAAAGCCATGGTCTCATTCCACCTAACTTGTTCCAGATTGCTATCTCTAGGAATTATTAAATAGGCAGCAATGATGGTGGCTTTTACTACCTGACCTCAGAAAGCAAAAGTATCAGTCATTGTGTCTAACCAAATATTATTATCGACGTCAGGTAGACCTGAATTGAGCTCTCAGACCTAATAGCTTTCCTTGAGCCATGTGTGGACCTTCCTGAAGCTTGGACCATGAAAGAGTGCTCAATTTCTGGCAACTGACTTTGGCAGGGAGAGTAGTAAAAGGGTTTGTTGTTGTTCATCAAAGGAGAATTCCACACTTGGTTTCACTAGTTCCTCTATTAGAGGCTAAGCTGTGAACAGACCAGAGAAGAAACATCAGTCGAAGTTCAGCAGCAATGATCCCTTTTGGACAAAGGCAGACAGAACCCAAAGGGAAAGAGAAGGAATGAGAAGCTTACCTTTCAGCACTGTTGGCATGCAAGCAGCAGGAAGGGCAGGACCGATGGCAGCCCGTGGGAACCATGTTGCCAATGCAGGTTCAGAGAGAATGTGAAAGGAATTAAGTCATCCTTGGTACCTCATTGCACCCATAGGTCCTGAGATAGGTTAGGGAACCAGAGTGGGGAGCTGCAATTCATTCTAAGTGCATTGGACCCCTTTGGAGGCACATTTACCGTGAAGTCAGAAACTTCAGGATTACCAGTGGCCTGGGGGAATCCAGACCCTCCCTTCTCCACCTGAATTTCTAGCATAAGGAGGGCCTCCATAACAACCAAGTGTAATCTCTAGTTCTCAGCCGGAGACTGGATGTTAATTCTGGGAAAGGAAGACATCTTACCCACCCCGCACCATATTTTTCTCATCTAAAACCCACCAATGAATACACACAGTCTAACCCAGGTGTGCGTTCTAGAGCAAAGGCTCCTAGATTGTGGTAGGTCATTGATCTTACTGAAAATCGGACCAAAGCTATTTCCCAGAACACCACACAGGTGTTCTCTTTCTCTTTCTCTCTGACAGCACACCCAGTTTTAGACCCGATGGTAGAGGCTTGTCGGCTTCCTCGAAGTCCATCCAGTTGTACCCTTCCTACCCCCTGCAGTCTGAAGGTTCTGGATGAAGAGGTCATGTTTGAATTGAGAGCCTCTGAATGTGCCCCCGGTTGAATGTGATAGTCAGCAGTTTTGCCTGTCTCTTTCATTCGCTTCCTTCTCTAGGTTGAAGGGCTCCCCATTTATGTAGGGAGAAGGGGATATGACTTACAGTTGACTGGAAGGGGCAGCAGAGCCAGGAGCCAGTGAATCAACATGGAAAATGCAAGGAAGAGAGTAGAATTAATATTAACATAACCCATCTCTGTTAATTTTTACATGCATTTCTTTATTCCTTCATGGAACATTTATTTGCCTGTTGTTATATGGAGTGCGATCTGTATATGGGACACTATTTTTATGTAGTTTGTCACATCCATTTGACAAAGATCAGTACAGCGGTAGCATTGCAGTGGCACGAGTGTTGGAAACCCTTTAACTTTGCAGTTTCAGAAATTGATCATATATATATATTTACATAAACACATAAATGTGTATGTGTACGTATGCACACACACCATGGACCCTTGAACAATGCAGGTTTGAACTACACGGTTACACTTATACTTATCCACTTAGATGTGGATTTTCTTCTGCCTCTGCCACCCGAGACAGAAAGACCAACCCCTCCCCTTCCTCCTCCTGCTCAGCCTACTCATTGTGAAGATGACAAGGATGAAGACCTTGACAGTGACCCACTTCCCCTTAATGAAGGGTAAACATATTTTCTCTTTCTTAATAACATTTTCTTTTCTCTAACATAGTATATATACTATGCTAGAATCAGCATAGTAATATATGTAACATACAAAATATGTGTTAATCTACTGTTTATGTTGTTGGTAAGTCTTCTGGTCAAAAGTAGGCTATTCGTAGTTAAGTTTTGGGGAAGTCAAAAGTGATATGTGAATTTTCAACTGCACTGGAGGTTGGTGTCGCTAACTCTCACTTTGTTCAAGGGTCAAGTGTGCATGTGTAAAGGTTTGAGTGTCCCCCAAATAGCAGGTGTTGGAAACTTAATCCCAAATGCAATAGTGTTGAGAGGTGGGGCCTACTGGGAAGTATTTAGGTCACAAGCGCTCAACTTTCATGAATAGATTAATGCTGTTTATAAAAGGGCTTGAAGCTTTAAGCTCTCTGTCTCTGTTTCTGTCTCTCTCTCTCTCTCTGTCCTTCCATCATAGGATGACACAACAAGAAGGCTCTCACAAGATGCCAACCCCTCAATCTTGGACTTCCCAGCCTCCAGAAACATGAGCCAATAAATTTCTATTCATTATAAATTTTCCAGTCTCAGGTATTCTGTTATGGCAGCCCAAAACAGACTAAGACAGTAGTTATATCTGGATGATAAATATATATCTATATGTAGATATAATTCTACACATTTCCATGTATAATCCTACAGATATAAATATATAGATCTATACTGATATATATCCTATATGTCTAATTTAATGTAAGCTGAATTTTTCTTTGAAGCATTGTTTAAAAGAGCAAACTGCTGAAAACAACCTGAGTGGCCATTAGTATGTGACTGGTCAAACAAATTGTGGACTTCCATACGAGGAATATTATTCAGCCAAAAACGTATAAATAGGAGGTTGAGGATGCTCCTTATGAAATGACACAGAGTCATCTTCAGGAAGTATTATTAGCTGAAAAAAGTAAGGTGCATACAGAACAGTGTGTATAATACGCTGTCTTTTTTGTAAAAATAGAAACAAGAAGACTGAATATATAAATACACATTTGTTTCTACTTGAATAAAATATCTCTGGAAGGATCTGGAAGAAATAGTTAATATCAGATTCTTTTGGGGAAGAGAAATGAGTGAAAAGGTTGGGAAGGAATTTTTTCTGGTATAACCTTGAGAACTTCTTGAATTCTGAACCCCGGAAATCTTGTTTTAAATGAAAATAACATGATGTTTTAAATTGAATATTTAATTAGTAATTTAAATGTAATTAAAGTGTATGTAAATACTATTTTAATTGTTCATGGAAATGTTAATAAAATAGTAACATAAACCAAAACATTTTAATTAAAACAGCATAATGTTTTAAATTGAAACAAAAACTGTGGATCATGAGATGTTTGCATTTGTTTAGGCTTAGAAGGTTCAGCTTTTGAAGACAGGAAGGAACTAGCATAGGCTAGCTTTTTAGGTATAAAAAACCCCAAATCTTCTCTGCAGGCAGTTGAGCTCACCGGGTCTAGTGTGGGGATTAAATATTTTTCAAGTTTCCCACGTGATTCTCGTGACGATGGTCCAGTGTGAGGGTCCAGAGCTTTGGAAATCTCAGATCCCATATGGGACACTTACTCTTTTGAAAATTAAATTGCATGACATATTTTAAATTCTCAGTAAATGCTAAATGCTTAATTAATATTGGTTCCTTTTATCTCCTTTCAATCTGAAATAATAACATTAACTTAAGTTTTCACAGTGCGTTCCATTCTGCAGGCCTCTTTCCATTTATTTAGTCCTGCTGAGCACTAGGAATCTTGCTAGGCTACAGGAATAAACAGATGAGTAAAGTACAGTCCCTGCCCTCTAGGAACTTACAGTCTTGCATTCTAGTAGGGGTGGAAAAAAAAGAGATCTTTTTCCCTTCCGTGTGACTTGGAGCAGAAATTCTCAAAGTATCATCCAAAGACCACTTGGCGGGGGTGGGAGGTGGTCCCTGAGACCCTTTCAGGGGATGTGATGGTTGATCTGGGGTGTCAGCTTGACTAAGGTACCCATATAGCAGTAAGACATATTTATTCTCATTGCTTCGGTAGGCACTGAGTCCATCCATCTTCTGCTGAAAGGGAAGCCTGAGTGGTTTGGCGTTTGATTAGAATGTTTGGGCTGCCCCAGGTGTGTCTGTGAAGCTGTTTCTGGAGGATATTGGTGTGTGAGTTGGAAGACTAGGTGGGGAAGATCCACCCTCACGGTGGGTGAGCACCATCCAATTGGATGGAGGCCCAGCTGAAGCCAAGAGGTGGAGTAAGGGTCAATTCTTGCTCTCCCTTCTGCAGCTGGGACGCCCTTCTCCTGGCCTTGGATGTCAGAACTCCAGGTACTCCAGCTTTTGGGATTCTAGGACTTGAACCAGCAGTCCTCTGAGCTCCCAGGCCATTGGCCTCAGACTAAGAGTTAGTTAGAACCATCCATCAACTTCCTTGGTTCTGAGGCCCTCAGACTTGGACTGAGCCACACTACTGGCTCTCCTGGTTCTCCAGCTTGCAGACCCCACAACAGAGTGAGCTAATTCCCCTAACAAATTCATTCTCAAATATCTCTATCAATATATCTCTATATCTATATCTGTATGTATCTATATGTATATCTTCATGGTTCTGTCTCTCTGGAGAACTCTGCCTAAAACTGCTCTGCGTGATCCTCCCTTTTCCAACTCCTTATCTGTGTGAGATTAGATTTTCATTTGCTTCAACCAAAATAGCACATTGTGGCTGGGCGGGGCGGCTCACACTTGTAGTCCCAGCATTTTGGGAGGCCGAGTTGGGTAGATCACCTGACGTCAGGAGTTCAAAACCAGCCTGGCCAACATGGTGAAACCTTGTCTCTCCTAAATATACAAAAATTAGCCAGGCATGGTGGCGTGCACCTGTAATCCCAGCTACTTGGGAGGCTGAGGCAAGATAATTGCTTGAACCCGGGAGGCAGATGTTGCAGTGAGCCAAGACCGTGCCACTGCACTTCACCCTGGGCAACAGAGCAAAACTATGTCTCAAAAATAAATACATAAAACTAAAAAAAAAAAAAAAATAGCACATTGTGACAGACTGAAGCAGAAATGAGAATTCAGCTGTTTTCTATTAAACTAGATGTCAAAGAGATTTGCAAAAATGTAAAATAATACCTTTCTTCTCACTAAACTTTTTTGGTTGGGAAACAGCCATTTCACTAAAACATTTATGTCAATATGTGTATTTATTATCCTTATTTTAAAAATATTTTTAATTTCAGTAGCTTTAGGGGTACAAGTGGTTTTTGATGACATGGATGAATTGTGTAGTGGTGAAGTCTAGGATTTTAGTGCACCAGCACCTGTGTAATGTACGTTGTACCCAATAGGTAGTTTTCATCCCTCACCTCGCTGCCACCCTCCTTCCTTCTGAGTCTATTATCCTTATTTTTAAATGCAGTAATAGATATTTTAATAATAGCTTTACTGAGATATAATTCGCATACCATGCAGTTCACCCATTTAAATGGTTTGTGTGATACTCAGACTTGTGCAACCATCACTACACCAATTTTAGAGCCTCTAATCACCCCAAAATAAACCCTGAACCCCTTAGTCATCGTCCCTAAATTCCCCCACCCCTCACCCCCTGGAAGTCACTAACGTCGATTGTGTCTCTATGGATTTGCCTATCCTGAATATTTCATATGTAGTAAACAGAATCAGGTAATATGTGATCTTTTATCACTGGCATCTTTCACTGAGAATAATGTTTTCAAGGCTCACACACGTTGTTGAATGCATCAGAACTTTGTTTCTTTTTGTGGGTGAATAATATTCCATTGTATGCATAGACCACATTCTGTTTCTCCATTCATTAATTGATGCACACCAGGATTACCTCCACTTTGCTAACTCTTAGGAATAGTGCTGCTGTGAACATTTGTGCACAGGTTTTTGTGTGGACTTACGTTTCATTTATCTTGGGCACATACCTAGAGCGGAATTGCTGAGTGACTCAGCATTTAACATTTTGAGGAACACCCAGACTGTTTTCCAAAGCAGCTGTATCATTTCACATTCCCACCAGCAGCATATGAGGGATCTAATTTCTCTACCCTAGTTAGTGTGAAGTGGTACCTCATTGTGGCTTTGGCTTCCATTTTCCTAATGGCTAATAAGGTTGAGCATCTTTTTATGTGCTTATTTGTGAATATAAATATTTTTTGTAAATATAAATATTTGTAAATATTTATAATAATTGTAAATATAAATATTTTAAGTTAAAAATCCTTGAATTTATAATAAGGTAAATATCAATAAAGATATTTTACTGACACCTTTGGCTAGGCACGGTGGCTCACGCATGTAATCCCAGCACTTTGGGAGGCCAAGGCGGGCAGATCACCTGAGGTTAGGAGTTCGAGACCAGCCTGACCAACATGGTGAAACCCTGTCTCTACTAAAAATACAAAATTAGCCAGGCATGGTGGCATGCAGCCTGTTGTCCCAGCTACTCGGGAGGCTGAGGGAGGAGAATCACTTGAACCCGGGAGGTGGAGGTTGCACTGAACGCAGATCGCGCCACTACCCTCCAGCCTGAGCAACAGAGCAAGGCTTGTCTCAAAAGTAAATAAATAAATAAATAAATAAAACCCTCGCTGGGAAAAAAAAAGAACTCTTTAGATCCTCAGTAATTTTTTTAGCGTGTTCAGAGGCCCTAATACCGTGAAGTTTGCAAACCACCAGCTGGTGTTATACATAAGTCAAGGTGTTATTCTAATGGAGATCTGCCTGACATCTCTCTTCCCTGATAAATGCTCTTCATTTTCCCAGCGAGCCTCTCTTCCCCAGACAAAGCAGTGAAGGAGGGCTGCTCTTTTAGTTGTGAGCATCACTGTAAGACAACAACAGAAAGGTGGTTTGTTTTTCCGAGTCATGCCCAGACCCCACGGCAAGTCCGTGCACCAGATCCAAGTCCCACCCTTCCCCAGAATTGCCAGAGAGGTCGCAAGATCCAGAAGAATTTTAGGAGAGGTAGCTATGAAAATACAGACTTGGGGGTTCCACAGTTCTTACTTTTTTCTTTAGTTGCAACTGGAGACAAAAGCATCAGCCAGCCGGTTCACAACAGGATCAGGGAGCAGGGAGCAGAGAGAGAAATCAGCATTAGACTCAGATCAGTGCAATAACCAAGAAGACCAGAGATAGAAGTGTCCCTGGAGACCAGCTGACCCACTCACTGCTCTCAATAAAGCTACTCGGGCCCATCTGTCAGCACATCCATCCATCGATAACATCCATTCATTCATCATCCATCCAATCAACGTTTACATGGTACATGCTTTGGGCATTGGCCTATGTTTGGTGCTGGAGACACAGATAAATCAGATTCAGCTCCTGCTCCATAGGTGTTTGTAAGGCTGATTGGAAAGAGAAATTCTGGTATAAGAGTACACTAGACATCCCAAACTCTGTTCTCACAGAAATTGCTATCTATGGATGTCCCAGACGTCTTACAGGTACTTCAGGCTTAGCCTGTTCAAGAAAGAATCTGTGGTCATCACACTCCTATCCATCAAAAAATAATCTGCTGACGCAATACTTGTTATTCTTATTATGTTTTTGTAGAGATGAGTCTCACTATGTTGCCCAGGCTGGTCTCAAACTCCTCAAGTGATCCTCTTGCCTTGGCCTCCCAAAGTGCTGGGATTAAAGGCTTGAGCCACTGCACCCAACCAATACGATCAATCTCTCTGAGTTCACACTGATATAAATAAATACAGTACTTGAATAAATAAACGGAAGAAAAGTCAGCTTTTCCTTACAGAGAAATCCCATTGAATGTATGTAGAAGGAATAAGGGGAATAGAAAATCACCATTGGAGAAACACCGTAGCAGTCATTTCTGCAAGCAAGAGCCACAGATGGAGGCTAAAATTAATGGGCAAACACTGGAGGAGAAACGGTATTTGCACAGCCTCAACATTTCTCCTCCAGCATATTTATTAATTACAAAGGGGGAAAATAGTAACTTAACAGTGGAGAAACTTGGCAGACATCACCTTAGCCGAGTGACTAAAGTTAACACCATGTAATAAGGCACGTCAACATCATGGGATCCCTGATATAGTTCTCTGGGAAGGGTATGAGACCACTTCTGCCGTATTCCTGCCCCAAAGGCATAGTCTCAATCCAGTCATGAGAAAGCTTCAGACGAACCCAAATTGAGAGACATTCTGCAAAACAACTGATCAGAGCTCTTCAAATGTTTCGGGGTCATGAAAAGACAAAGATTGAGGAGGTTCAATCACATTTGTTCTAAGGACACATCACAAGACTAAAGGAGACGGGATAACGAAATGCAGCGTGGTTGAGCACGAACTAGATTTTAGGCCAAACAAAAAAAATTTTTTTAATGTAAAATGTGAGGTGGGATCCTGGATTGGATCCTCAAATAGAATAGTTTTTCTGTCAGTAGAAAAATTAGTAAAATTTGAATGAGGTCTGTAATTTCTTCAATAGTTTTGTTCTGGTGTTGGGTCTTGCTTCTGATCCTTGTGCTATGGTTAGGTAAGATGTTAATAGCTGAGATAACTGGGCGAAGAATATTCAGAAACTCAATGTTTGTGACTTTTCTATAACTTCAAAATAAATTTTTTAAAAAACGTGTTCCTCTACAGAGTTTTGTTTTGTTTTGTTTTCTTTTTGAAACATACAGAGTCTTGCTCTGTTGCCCAGGCTGGAGTACAATGGCAGGATCTCGGCTCACTGCAACCTCCACCTCCTGAGTTCAAGTGATTCTTCTGCTTCAGCTTCCTGAGTAGCTGGGATTGCAGGCCTCCACTACCATGCCCGGCTAATTTTTGTACTTTTAACGGAGATAGGGTTTCGCCATGTTGGCCAGGCTGGTCTTGAGCTTCTGATCTCAAATAATCCAGCCGCCTCAGCTTCCCAAAGTGCTGGGATTACAGGTGTGAGCCACCGCGCCCGGCCTCTACAGAGTTTTCTCATCTCAGTTAAGGGCAGCCAGTTGCAAATACATGTATGTATAAAAAGAGCCTTTCTGCACGCTTCTCTTTCCCCAGCCACCAGCATCTGACCCATCAGTCAATCCTGTGAGCTCTTTCCTCAATGTCTCATAACCTTCTGCGTATCCCCATCTTCTCCCTGATGACCAAAACATGTTCTAACTTGTGTGTTTGCCATCTTCTCCCTGATGACCAAAACATGTTCTAACTTGTGTGTTTGCCCCTACTCTGATTCCCGCCTAATCCATTCTTTCCTGAGGGGCAAGACAGATTGTTCAAACACACACACACAGACACATACACATACACACACACTCCTAAATATGATGCTCCTTTGCTGAAAACCCTTTAACAGCTCCCTTTTCACTTAGGATACCCTCCAGAATTTTTCCTGTGACCCACCTGCCCCTGTCTATTCTGTTCCCTGCCTCCTCTCTCTTCTTACTTGTAACAGTCCCACCGCTATGCCCCTCCTTCTGTCTCCCGAGTTCCTGACACACCGGCCTCTCTCTGAGGAAGGGACTCCGTGCCTTCTGCCCCAGGACCTTTGCATATTCAGGTCTCTGCCTGGAATAGTCTCCTGACTCTTCAGCTGGCCATCTCCTATTCCTTACCTCAAATGTGACTCTTCTAGAGAGGCCATCTCCGAATCCCCACACTAGAATGTGTATGTTTAACATGAGAATTCCATGAAGACAGAACTATTTCTGTCTTTTTCATCACTGTATTCCCAGCATCAAGCCCGTGGAAAGAACCAGGAATTAACATTTGTGGATCAAATGAGGAAACAGGAACTCAGAGTTGTGGCAAGACCCAAGTCCTCTTCCCAATATACTCTTCAGTGTCTTTACGTTGCAAAGGTCTGGAGTCTCACTAGAATTATCTGACTACAGTAATGTTGACTTCCAGGCACTGCACAACATAAGCTCGTCAATGACATACAACTGTCCCATGAACTGGGGATTCTTGTGAGCCCCGTTGGTTAGATGAGGACAGCAAGGCTTGCAGAAGCAATGTCTCCCCAAAGGCACAAAGAATCAGCGATAGAAACCAGGATGCAGACACAAGCGTATCTCCAAGGGCGGGGGCTAGCAACCTAGACTCATTCACCCCACCGTGTCCATCAAGGGAAATGTGAATGTCTAAATGGGAAGCAAGAAGTCCGTTAGACTTCAGGAGCTTCTCTCTGAATCCAGCCCACGAGAACCTCCCCAGTTGTAAGAAAGTACACAGGGGACACACGGCGTGGCTGGAAGCATTACCTTCACGAGGAGTACAGGCTTCTGCCAATCCCAGGAAAAGCAGAATCAGCAGCAACATTTTCAGAAATGGCTCTGATCTGTGCATAGTGGGGCTGGGATTTGGGCTGAATGTTCTCCTCTCAGGATAGACAGGACTGTCTGGTCACCCACCGTCTTCTCAGGCTCCAGGGACAAAACTTAACTGCCCACACCTGCCCTCTAGCCTGCCAAGAGGCTGGCAGGTCTCCAGACCTGTGCCCACGCCACCAACTGCTGACCAAAGAACTGTATCTGCTTTTTCATCTTAAAGCAATATTTTAGAACAGTTTTGTGCTGAGCGTGATGCTTGTCATCCTATGATCTGCTGGCCAGATCTGCCTTCCTGCTGTTTTTGTAGGGCCTATGAGCTAAGAGTAATTGTTACATTTTTTAATGGTTGGAGGGGAAAAACAAAAGAAAATATTTCATGACATGAAAATTACATAGAATGTGAATTCCAGTGTCCACGAATAAAGTGTTATTGGAACACAACCATGCCATTTCACTATATATTGTCTACAGCTGCTTTCAGGCTGCAAGGCTGAGTTTTGTAGTTGTGACAGAGACCATCTGGGCTGAAAAGCCTAAAATATTTACTGTCTGGCCCTTTATAGAAAAAGTTTGTGGACCTCAGTCCTAGACATACTGTAAATTTCAGAAAAACAACAAAGCAAACAAACATCTATCGTATTTCTACTCAGACCTAAGTATTGCTTTTACATTTTTATGTACATTCCTTTCCAAAGATGTCTACGTTTATACTTATCTCTAGCACTTACTAGCTTATGTACCCTAAGCAAGTTACTTAACCACCGTGTGCTTCATTTTCTTCATCTATAAAATTGGAATAATGGTATTTCTAATCTCATGAGATACTATCATATCACGGCTGTATGATAGTAAATTTGTATTGTTGTAGCCATTAAGTTTGTAATAATTTTTCGTAGCAGCCACAGGGAACTGTTTCCACTGGTAATTCTTAGAAATTGCTTGGACGGTCAAGAGCTTTGGCTGTTGGGGGGGATATGAACTTGACCCGGAATCCCTCTGGACTCCTGGAATAAAGGTAGAGTGTAGAGACTGCTGGTCTATCTCAGCTCTGAAGGCTTCTATGGTACTTCCGTCAAGCCTGATAGAAACAGAGGATTGTGTGTGGTCTCCTGGAAGGAAAGAGTTCCAGGTGTGGAGGGATGTCCACTCTTGCAAGGGTCTCTGTCCTGCTGCCATCTCTGGTACTATCTATGTTTCAATCCCTAGTACGAGCTGGACCATCTCATGTGCATCAGGTACATCAGGGGACACCTCAGCGATCCTTCAGAGTAGGCTGGAGGGAAGAGTTCTTGTTGGCCATTTGCCATATTCCACAGCTCCCCTCCTTTGTGAGCGCATGGTCCTGGCAACTCATCACTGGGAAAACGTGACACCACAGGATTTGTTATAACGAGGAGAAGAAACAAGGCGTGCAATGTGCAGAAGGCTTTTCACACCCTGTGCTATGTGGAAATAAAGACCACCCAATGAAAACGAGCAAAGGCTGTTAATTCAGAGCTTGCCAAAATAAGGGAGTCAACTGACACCATTTGTGTTTGCCACAGACTCAAAGGCAGGCAGGGTAGTAGGAAAGCTTATAGTGAAAGAAAGGGAAGGCTTCAGGAGTGCCTGATTGGAGGCCGCTGACATAAGGAAGCTGGCAGTGGCTAATTAGAGGCTATTGTGATTGGTTGGGGGAGCATATTTGGATTTTTCTGATTAGTCGTACGTTTCGATTTTCCATCCTTCCTTAGCAGCCTCATTACCAGCACAGCTGTTTCTTTCCTTTATCAAATATAATCATAGTCCCTAACTCATAACACTAGGGTTTAAATGCAACAAATGCCTGGGATGCAGAGCATCATTAATGTTCTTTAGCAATATCCTCTCTGCCAGACTGTGATTTGGGGACAGAGATGAGTCAGATACTGGCCTCACTCATGAGGAATTCATGCTTTAGGAAAGATCGGGATGTCTCAATGTTGGCACAGCTGACATTTAGAACCAGATCGTTTTTGTGGTGGGGGCTGTCTTACGCTTTGTGGGATATTTAGCAACATCTCTGGTCCCTATCCATTACACAGTAGCACCTGCCCCACCCACCGCACACCAACCACCACCACCACCATGTTTTGGGAGCCACACGTAGGAAGTGATGAGCTTTTAGTGCTCCTTACTTTATTTTTATTATAACTTATTTATGTTCAAGTTTATACAATTTAGTTTTGAGTATTGGGCTATGTTAGGCAAACAGCTAAATTGAGGAATTTTACCTCAGTCTAAAAATGTTTTAAATGTAGAAAACTGAAAACGTAACAATTGACCCTCATGATAAGCTGGCTCCAATACACCTGTGTAATACCATTTTTTGTGTTTTTACGTTCATTCTAACTGGTGTTTCACTGAATCTTTCTTGCACAACTTGCCATTTATTTTTTTATGTATTGAGAGGGGTCTCGCCCTGTTGCCCAGGCTGGAATGCAATGGCACGATTTCAACTCATCGCAACCCTCCACCTCCCGGGTTCAAACGATTCTCCTGCCTCAGCCTCCCGAGTAGCTGGGATTACAGGCACGCACCACCACACGCGGCTAATTTTTGTGTTTTTAGTAGAGACGGGGTTTCAGCATGTTGATCAGGCTGGTCTCGAACTTCTGACCTCGTGATCCGCCCTCTTCGGCCTCCCATAGTGCTGGGATCTTTCTTTCTTTTTTTTTTTTTTTTAACCCAACGTGATGTCTGTGAGATCCACTTATGTCTATGTGGAGCGGGAAGTGGTGCTGGACCTGGAGACGGCAAAAAACCTGGTCGTTATGGTCATGGACAATCAGTTGGAATCACAGACACTGAGTCAATCCAGTGTGGATGCCAATCCCTGCCCCACCACACGATAGCCGGCATGAGTTTCTTCTTGCTACTATAGTGAATTACCATCAATTTTGTGATTTAAAACGACATAAATTTATCATCATACAGCTCTGGCATTCAGAAGTCTGAAGTGGGGTGACCGAGCGCAAAGCGTTGGTAAAGCTATGTTCTTTCTGCAGGCTCTAGGAGGAATTTGTTTCCCTGCCTTCTGCAGCTTCTACAGGCTGCCCGCATTCCTGACGCCTGGTCGGCTTCTTTCGTCTTCCAAACCAACAGCACGGCATCTTCAAATCTCTCCCCAGCCCTCTCCCATTTGCAGGCCAGCGATGGTCGGTCAAATCTTTCTCACCATACATTGCTCTGATGCCCTGCTTTCATCATTCCATCTCCCTCTGTTACCCATTTCCCTCCCTCTTTCACTGACAAGATCCTTTGTGATTACGTTGGACCTGCCCCAGTAATCCAGGATCATCTCCCCACAAGGTCAGCTGATTAACAATCTTATTTTTATCACGTCTGAGAGTAACACACTCCCAGGTTCCAGAAGTTAGATGTGGGTATCTTCAGGGACAGTTGTTCTGCCTGCCACACAGATGCATGAACTTGCTCAATGGACTATATCCCTGAGCCTCAGTCTCCGCCTATTAATGATAGCAACATTTGTTAATTATTATATTATTATGCCGTATCATTGTGAATTTTTTAAAGTATATTGAGAGGATGTGGAGAAATTAGAGCTCTTATCCATTGCTAGTAGAAATGTAAATTGGTGTAGCCACTGTAGAAAATAGTTTGGCAGTTTCTCAAAAAGTTAAGTATAGGCTACCGTATAACCCTGAAAGTCCACTCCTAGGTAATGTACCCAAAAGAATTCAAAACAGGTAATTAAACAAATGTTTACACATGAATGTTCACAGCAATGCTATCCACTGGAGTCAAAATATGGAAATGATTGGAATGTCCATCAACAGATTAATGGGTGAAGTGTGGTATAGACATACAATAGGATATTATTCAACTGTAAAAAGAAATCAAGTACTGATATATGCTGGAACATGGGTGAACCTTGAAAACATTATGCTAAGTAAAAGCAGCCAGACACAAAGACCACCTAGTCTATGATTCCATTGATATGTAATATCCAGAACAGGTAAACCCTTAGAGACAAAAAGTAGATAGTGGTTGCCGGGGACTAGGAATGGGGAGGGAAAGAGGAATGGCTGCTTACTAAGATGGAGTGAGGAGTAAGGAAAATGTTCTAGAACTAGATATAGGTGACAGTTGAACAACATTGAGAATGCACTGAAGGCCCCTGAATTGTACACTTGAAATGGTTAGTTTTACATCATAGGAATTTTACCTCAATTTAAAAATTTTTAAATGTAGAAAAATGTGTTAAAAGCTCTAAAAATAGCAATTTAAAAAATCCCATGTCACCAAAACAAAACGAAACAGTACAAGCATAGGGACTGCGCATATTAAAAGTAACTACATTTAAAAATTAAACCAGCAGCAGCAGCAGCATCTGAGGCTTCTACCAAGAAATTAATGGAAATAGTTCAACCCCTCTGTGCAGTTCCTGAGGCAATCCCAGAGCTCGATCAGGTGGGAGGGATGAGCATTCTGTCCCTGCCGCAGTGGCCATTACACCCACGAGGCAGCGCCCACACAAGGGGTCTCGGCTGCAGCTGGCATGACCTGCTCAGCCACGCCAATGCTTCTGTGTCCTAGGCAGCCTGGCTTCTCAATCTCCAAGGAGTCCCAAGCCACTGGCTAGACCCTAGAATAGACAACCCATGTCCTGGGCTCTGGCTGGCTCTCCAGTCAGCTCCTTCATGTCTATCCTGGATAGAGGACCCCTTGGAGTCTTCTGTCCCTCACTGAACAGATAAGGGAGCAATGGGTCAGAAGTGTAAGGGATTTTCCCAGAAGGGAAAGGGACCTGAAAAGTGTCATCAGATTTAGCCAGGCTCTGAAATCATAAAGGTATGGGATCAAAGCTCAGCTCCCTCCACCTCCGGGCTCTGTGCACTAGGACAAGGATTTCTTTTCTTTGGACCTCAATTTCTCAAGGAGTAAAAATGGAGGTGTGACAGCAACAGCTGATACTTTTCCTAGCATTGACTACATCCCAGATGCTCTTCTAAGGGCCTTTGCCTGTAATAACTCCTACAACACTATGAGGTGGCAACTGTTACTAGCTTCATTTTATAGATGAAAAAAGTGAGATCTAAAAGCATAAGGTCAACTCAAAATCACACCACTAGTAATTGGCAGGATTGGGATTCGAAGCTATGTATTTGAATCTGCAGTGCATGCTGTAAACCAGCCCTGTCGAATAGAACTT